TCTGCTGTTAAAATGAACGTGTACTGTAAAAACTACATGCGAGTATTTTTCTATTCAATGGCCATTTCTCAATCGCGAGGATATTTGCTTCCAAGCCAATATTTCAAGGATGCTACGTCATCGAGTGCCGCAGAAGGACTGTTCCAATCTCCAGCATACTTGGAATTCCACCGAGGCCGCGTCCTTGGTTTGGGGGAAATTTCGAGGCTGCACATGGGTAGACTTTGCGTCCTTAAAATCCCCACAATGCTTTGCGCACGGACCAATTTCAAAAACCCTTGCGGAGAATGGCTGAACCGACGCAGCACACATTTAAATGTAAGTATGTAGTGGCGTAGAACATGTGTTGGTAAATATGTTACTTTGTTACATTTGTTTGTTATCACCAAAAATGTGTTCCGTGAAAGTAAAGCAAGTTCATAATTTGATCGACATCGTGAGGTATTTATTTTCGGTACAGTTTATGTTGAAACCGTTAGAGAGAGTGGCACACTTGTTAGCCTGTTCCATTCTTCTTCGTTTTCCGAAGCCGTGGCTTGGAAGCATACTTGCTTCATTTCTGAAGGAAGTGACTTGGAAGTACGCGACTACCAAGCCAGCATCCTCGCGATTGAGAAACGGCCATAGTGTGCCGCAAAACAATAATCACCATAGGGGCACTGTGCTGCCATACCCACCAAACGTAATCTCATAATTCAGAGAGCTGATTGGCTGTAAGTACGCGTGCCACGAAAAGTTTAGATGTGAAGAGGAGCAGTTTATAGCGATTAAAATCAGTAAAACGGAAAGAAAATGAATGCCCCTCCATGTGAGGTCGGCCCAGACCCTAGGGGTTTTTAAATCTACACTAAAAACACACTTCTTCTCTCTGGCCTTCTAGTTAGAGCGGAGTACGACTCCTGACTTTTCCTTGTGTTTTATTTTTATTTTTTATATATATCTGTTGTAATTTATTGTCTTTTATTGTGATTGTAGTAATGTGTTTTTATTACATGTACAGCACTTTGGCTCGACCAAAAATCGCTTTTAAATGTGCTTTATAAATAAAACTTGATTTGATTTGATTTGAAGTTGACCATCTTCAGCTTTGGTAAGTTCATTTTATGTCATATCTTTTGTTGATCTTCTGTGTTTTGCCTATAGGCTATTGCTCTGCTGGATCGATTGATATTGTGACCTTGGTGATGAGTGTCTTGTGTTTTCCTTATACCCCTTATTTTCCTTATGGAGCATTAAAGGTGGGGTAGGTAAGTTTGAGAGACCGGCTCGAGATACACTTTTTGTTATATTCCATGGAATGCTCTTAACATCCCGATAGCAATGAATATCTTAAGTGCTTTAACAAAAAATCCATAAAAAAATGTCATCTGTGGAAGCCGTAGTACTGTAAAAAGCACGACCAATCTTTTTAGCCGGCCCGGCTAAAATGATCGGATGGCCTACCTGCCTGTCAGCCTTCCATCTGTGCACAAACTTATCTTGTGCCCTCATTGGTCATGTGCGTGTTCGTGTGTGTTGGAGGAGGGGCTCTGTAAGGAAGTGGCAGATTTTTTCCGGTTGTGTATTTTCAAATTCTAGCGATCTCGAGCTGGTTTCTCCAAAATGACCTACCCCACCTTTAAGGTCAGTGAATCCTTCATGCATTTTTATATTTAACATTATCTAAGAAATTGTTTTGCAATAAGTGGAACATACATTTATTTGTGGCATGTTTCTCAAACTTGGCACCTGTGCTCATTAATACAATTATCAGCTCATAGTCTTTATAAATGCGTAAATTGTACTCTGAGGGTTCCATGGTTGCTATGCTGGGTCTCCAGGTTCATGCTCTTAGTTTGAACCAAAACAAACTCTCTGACGGTCAGAAAAACAACAAAACGGAATATTTCCACTCGACAATTTCTCTGAAAAGAAACCATCAACCTGCCATTTTTCACTTCTGGACCTCTTTCTAAGCCCTACTATCCCTCACGTGGAGACATTTTTCATGGCAGATGTGAGCATTTTTTCTGATTTTAACCTATGTTGTTATCAATGTGTTTTGCCGTCAAGACTTTCAAACCCTCTCAGAATGCTAATGACTAATATTAATATTAAAGGTCCCATGTCATGCTTTTCCGGTTATTACCCGTCCCCTTGTTTGTTATGAAGGTTTTTATGCATGTAAACGGTCTGCAAAGTCACAAACCCTCAAAGTACACCCTGTAGCGAGTAAAACTCTAACACCGAAAAGACCTGTCTATGCTGCCCCAGAACGCCTCGTTGGAGATTTCTCTTTTTCTTCCTGGGTACAGTGACGTGCCCATACCAAAATGGACCCAGCTGACCAACTCCCAGCCAGGCTGCGGGTGTGTGTGTGTTCGGGCTGGTTTCGGGCTGGGTTTTGCTGTGTCTCGCTGTCTCGCAGACGGCCACTCGGCTCATAGGGACGGGGGGGGGGGGGCAGGAGCTCCAACAAGCCGTTTAGGACAGAGAGTGAATACACATACTATACATACTATTTTCCAAACTCATATGAGAAACCAATGTGAGTTTGGAAAATCGCACAATATAAATCTATTCTAGTAGACCTCAACAATGGAATTATGATCAGTAGAAATGGCCATGACATGGGACCTTTAATTACTAATATAATTGAGGTTTTGCCAATATAATCAAATTGGACAGACAATAGACATATCCTTGTCACCTGAAAATATTAGCATACATACTAAGCTAATACAAATAATGCTTATATTGGCGTTATATCCGTTAAGTCCGCCTGCAAACACAGTAAGAATGACTAAGACTCCAAACTCAAACATTACAAATGTGATACATTTACTATTGGAACATAAAGGTCTTTTCTTCTAAGGAATAAATCAAAAAACCTGTGCTACTGTTTTGAAGTATCTTTGGTAAGATGCCTGAAATGAGGCAAGTGAATACAAACTTGGGAGATGTTCACGTTTCTTTCTTCATCGGTAATCACCCCACTTGTGTTAATGCATTGTGATACTGATTCTTTTGATTCAACATGTGATTAGAGTCATTATGGTATAACACTATAGTTAACATGATGTGGAGCAGTGGTCTGACTGTTGTTTTTATTTTCACCTTCAGATGGACCGGCACTACAAGTGGACAGCTGTCCTCCTGCCAGACCCCGCCCCTCCCAGCCTCCCCCGGCTCGTCCTGCGCAGGATCCCAGCTCCGCCTGGCTCCCCAGCTGAACCTGCCCCTGAACATAACTCTTCTCCTTGTTCCCCCTTTAGGGCCATCTGCAGCTCCTCCCCTGGCTCCCACCATGGCCCCCCAGCTGGCCCCGCCCCCGAGCGGAAGAGGATGAAGAACCTGAGGCTTCTGATGAAGAGGAGGGAGCAGTCTGGCAGCAGGTGGAGCAAGAGAGTCGCTGAAGATCCAGGTAAGTCTCACCTTGGCTCTTCAGGTAGGTCACCTCTTGGCTCCTTCACTAGGACCTCCCCCACTTCTGGTTCCCCTCATGGCTCCCTTCTTGACTCTGGCACCTCTCCGTGCTCTTCCTCTCGCTTTTCCTCTCGCTCCTTCTCTCTGTCTTTTTCTAGCTCCTCCTCCTCTCGCTCTTCCTCCAACACTTCTTCCAGCTCTTCCTCTTGCTTCTGGTCTCTTGTGCCGACAGCTCATCCGACCAGGATCACCCTCAGAAGGCCGCAGAGGACCAGCTCCTCTCTCCAGACCCCCCGTGAGCCTCTTGAACCTGCTGCACCCTGGGAGCCTCAGCCGGTAGGGAACGTCCCTGTGAAGAAGAGCATCCGGCTTCTGATGAAGAAGAGGACCCAGGTGGGGGGAGCAGTGCGTCACAGTAAAAAGGTATAAATGAAATTGTTAAACTAATTAATATTTCCACATTTCAGGGTAATGTGTTTATTCTTAAACTTTTTAACTATTTAATGTAATTTGACATTTGCTTATAGAGAGGAGAGGAGGAGAGGAGGTGGGAGGCAGAATTAAGTGTGACCTTTCATGCAAAAAAGGTAAGAACCAAGTTATCTAATATTATTACCAGATTTCAGGAAGTTCAGCTCATCTGTTTACAAGTTATTTGAAGACCTACAGTACTTATTTTTCCTTTTTGTTTTTAGAGACAGGAGAGGAGATGAGAGGGCAGCATGAAGCTCAAGCTCTCGTGCAAAAGGTACATATCAATGTATTTCATGTTTAAATCAGAATGAATGTAATGATGAATAACTCATCTGTTCACTTTTATTCTCTGAAGTCTTTTTGTGTGAGGAGATGAGGAAAGAAGCTAAAAAGCTGAGTCGGGACATTTAATGAGAAGAAGAGAAGATGGAAGCGCAATATAAAGTGAAAACATATCATTAATTGACTTAATTAATGCTATGTGATGGATTTGGTGTGTACTTAGCCAGTCATGATTAAATTGTGAATAAAGTGTTTTAAATAAATTGTCAAAACTGGAGGAAATGTCTCGTTTTTTTAATCTAAGGTTTTTGTTTGCATTTCAAAGGTTCTATAATTCTCATATGCACAAAGCTACAGTGTAGAAATAGCAATGACATTCTTCTGACCTGAGCTCCTCCAACAATGCAACATAATATAATCAAATACAAAATAAAAAGTAGTGCAAAAAGTCTATATGTAAATAGAATATGATATGTACAAGAACAGATATTATTATTATATTGATATTGTGTGTTGGAGAATTAAACGTCCGATGTGAGGTTTATGAAGGTTAATTATTGAGAGTTGGATCAGGAGTAACCTGACACATTAAGCCTAAAAAGTCATTTCTCAAAAGACACCAAAATCACACTCTGGGTTAGGGAATAATGAATTCACAATAATAATATAAATACATAAGGACCATTTTTTTCCCGTGTATAGAAGGCACCCATACAAAATAGTGATCTCTGTACGGACCACACAAAGGAGTGGAACATAACATACATCTAAATTGTCCTTTAGAAAAAGGCGTTTCGATCTTGTTTGACCCTACGTCATACCCGTAGTTCCATGCTATCAATGCGGAAGCGACTATGAACGGCTACAGCGCCAACTGGTATTAGTGTTTTTATTCTTAATTTCAGCCATTAATATATAGTCTAAAGTCCGTTTATTAAAAACCGAATTAGGTGGCTTTGTAATACGTTGTTTTACAGTACTTCCATCTTAAAATGGGATGTTATGGCTTTCTATCTTCCCCTATATTTGGGTAAAGCTTGTGGAAAGCGTCATGTTTGCTAGCTAGCATCTTTACAAACAAACCCGTCCCTTTAAGTGTCCGTCAAACAGCAACATGAAAGTTCGCTCGTCCGTGTTTGCCTCGTTCATTTTAATATTTGAGGGGATTGGCGTGGCCCTCTTTCTGCGGGGGTTTTTCCCTGTCCCTCTCAAGTCTTCCGTCTCATCCAAGAACAAGCTGTCAGACCTGCCGGTGGAGCCGCTGACAGGTGAGCTCACACACTCACCTGCGTGTGTGTATGTGTGTTAGTCATCTGTCAAAACTCTTAAACTTCATTTTTTATTACAGGAAGTTCTCCCAACTCCTCCCGCCTCCCACAGCCCCTGTTTAAGAGGGTGGTTATAATGTTAGTGGATGCTCTGCGGGAGGACTTTGTGTTTGGACCCAATGGCCGCATGTACATGCCCTACACCCGACACCTGGTGGAGAGGGGCTCCTCACACAGCTTCGTGGCCAAGGCAAGACCCCCCACTGTCACCATGCCCAGGATCAAGGTAAGGAGTTTGTGGGACTCGGGCAGTGTTGGAAGAAGTACTCAGATCCTTTACTTGAGGAGCAACAATTGCTTTACTATTCTCTATTCAGTTATTCATAATATTAAACGTGCATGTAGCAGGTCCAAACTGCACCACTTGGGTTACCAGAAATACACCCAAAAAGTGTGAACACTCTTCTAGATTGCACATGTTCTCTTGTGCAAATAAAGCTTTCTCAAAGTGTACAATGCTTTGTGCACGCTATTTTCAGAACATTTTAGCAAATGATCCTAATGCAAAGTGATGGGGACAAAATTGGCCACTTCCAAAAGTGTCCCCAGCATCCCCAGTATAAATGACGCCTATGGCAAATACTAAAATATTAATTACAATTAAAAGTAAGTAAGTATTATCAATTAAATGTACTCGAAGCGAAAAAAGTAAAAATACTCATTTAGCACAATGAGTGTGGGAGAGAAACTCCATTACCATTTATGGCCTAGAAACATAGATGCATACAAAACTATACAAAACGCTATAATTGTAATTAATTGTTACTAAATACCACAACTGTCTTGCCAACATAAACATTTACTATACATAATGACACACCTAAATGGTTCTTACACTATGTTTTTAGCCTATTGCAAATAAAGTAATCAGGCTGAGCTTGGGAAGAGTGAGCACATTGTCACATTGCAGGTGCATGACGTTATTGAGCTGAAACACTGAGACTGTGGGCAGCCTGGGAAAAAGTCTGTGTTTTGTTGTCAGTGCTGCTGGAAAGATTTTGCTAAGGAGGTGATTTTCTGGGGAAAAGAGCAGCTCGGTATTGTCTCTTTGGCTGCCGGGCAGCGCTGAGGTGGAGAGGCATCTAACTGAAGTTGTCAGGTGGAGCAGAATATTGTCAGGGCAGAATAAAAGACAGCTTCCATGCTTCAGCAGGGGTTGAGGGGGACAGGGGATTGGGGGGGGGGAAATGTGCTGACAGCAGCAAGCTGTTTTAAAGATGGAAGAAGATTGGAGGCAATACGCATCCTGAAGTTGGACAGATTCCTCCTCAGCGATGTCTGATGAATGTGCTCAGGCAGGTTCAGGTCAGAGAGGGCAGCATGTGTTGGTGGACACTGTCAGAGATAGTGGACAGGATAAGCGCTGAAAACACGAAGAAAAACTCTGCAGGAGAAACAGGATTTCAGGAAAAAAACATCAGAGCACTCTCAATAACAAAATATTTTCTGAAAGCTGAGCCAACAAAGGCTGATACTGTCTTGGTAGCATCTTACTTTGACGTAATAAATATTAGCAACATTTTATTTTATACTGATTAAATACATGTCTACATTTGTAATGGTGTCCAACTAGGGCCTCAACTATGCTACTTTCCCTGAATCTGCAGAATTAGTTTTAATTTTTGGATAATTGTTTCGCCTATAAAATGTCAGAAACTTTAGAAAAATGCAAATCACAGCTTTTTAAAGCTTTCTTTGCCTGACCGACCTTAGAAAACCCAAACCTAATTAGCTCCCTATCTCGTCAGAAAAGCAGGACATGCTCACTTCTGAGAAACACTTCAAATGATTTATTTATGTTCCATCTCATGAGACAGGAAAACCTTCAAAATTAAAAAGTCAGAACCAGGGCCTCCAATAGTTTGGTGTTATTGCCTGTCATGACCTCATACACTTTATTGATCAAAGTAGTTATACCAAATATTTCTCAATCATCCAACTACTTCTTTCCGCTCTAGTCTGTAAGATGTCAGAAATCAACTGACAATGTAATTTCTAAGAGTCCTAAATCAAATGTTTTATTTGACTAATGACTAAATGCAAAGATAAACATTTAATCTATAACAAAGAATATTCTTTCTATTGTAATTTTTGAGGGAAAAGCCAATGGGTCAGATTTGTACTTGAACAAGCAATAGTTGCAGCCACATACCATTAATCAATTACATTGCTCTATTTAACTCTTTGTTTATTGAAGCACTACTTCCCTTCTTATTTCTAATACATTTGATATGTTGTTGACGTGCTAATCAAGTTGAGTTTTTACAAAAAAACAAAAAGCGGTGTTTCGGAGAGATGTACTTTTGATGATGTTTACATCCGCATTTGTTCCTTTGGAATTTTAAAGAGGCCTTATGCTCGTTTTCAGGTTCATATTTGTATTTTGTTCCTCTACTGTGACATGTTTATATGCTTCAATGTTCAAAAAGCTCTTTATTTTTCTCATACTGCCTGTGCTGCAGCACCTCATTTCACCCTCTGTCTGAAACCAGAGTCTGCTCTGATTGGTTAGCTGGCCGACTCTGTTGTGATTGCTCAACAGCTTAGGCGCTGTTTACACAGGGACGGAACGGGTGTTATCCGCTACAGTTCTCAAACGATAACGGGTCCCAAGGTGGGTAGATCTGCGGACGGAACGCTCTGGGGGGTCCAACGGCTCCGTGTGTACGCCATAGCCCCGCCTCTCCCCACCTCTCCTGCTCACCCCTGTGTCACCCGCGTCATTGCTGATGTGTTTCGCCAACAACAACAACTGAGTATTTCGAGCCAGGTCCCGGTATCTCGCAGGACAGTGCACCCAGCAGGAGCCTCCAGCTAGATTTGATCCATATGGACATAAACGTGAGTGAAGTCTATCGGACAGGAGAGAGAGATCAGCTGCTGCTGACGGAGACACGCAGCTCTGCATGATCACCTGCAGCTCCGCCCGCTGTGATGGAGCGGTGAGCGGAGAAAAAAACAGAAGGGCAACCAGGCAACTATGGCAACCATGCTTGGGAGGTCTTCTTCGCTGCTTTTGGTGTATTTTGTGGCGGAAGTACAGCGCCACTTACAGGCCCGGCATATGTACTACAGCATCTCCAGCGGGTCGAGCGGTCTCGTGTGGACGGACACGTTTATTGAGCCGATTGCGTGTGAATGGAAGACTTTTTTTGATATCGAATTCGGTTCATTTTCGTTTCCGTCTCCGTGTAAATGGGGCCTTAGAGATGTGTCTGTAATGTCCCTCCCTTTTGCCTACTAACGTATGTGGTAGATTGCTAGTCAATAGAAGGGGCAAGTGTTACATAGTGATGTCATTATATTACAGAAGCAAGCAAAGGAGTCCAATGGAGGCATTTCAGGCAGGGGGGGAGGGTGTGGAAGAGAAACTCCCTTCTGGAGGGAACACAGGGATTTAAGCCTTTGCAGACCATTTACATGCACAGAAACCCATAACACACTACAGGAGAGGGAACACCCCAAAAAGCATAATAAGGCCCCTTTAACGCATTTTGGATGGACAAATGCTACTGAATAAATATTATGTTTATATGTTTTCACATTAATTGAATGGTACATGCAAGCGCATTTCATTTTAAGACACAAGTTAATAAACAGATGGAGGAAAGCTTTCTCTCTTGAACAGAATGAAAGCTGTCTGTCATGAAGCAGGTCAGTGATGAGGAGGAGGAGGAGGAGGGATGATGGGATAAAGCTGATTGAGGTGGACTGGCAGGGAGACAGATGTTCCGTCATAATCCAAGGGTTTAGAGAAGATGATGGAGGGAAAAGGGGCCTTAAGGAAAAACAACTCTGGGTGTGAACAATCTCTTAAGATTTGTTGACGGTAAGATAGTATGAAGAGGGGAAAACCAACGAGTTTAAAATGAAAGGTTTCTGATTTAGAAGCACAGGCATGATGGCACCAAAAATGGTGCTTTTACAGCTGTCCAGAAACGTGTACGTTGGATTTGAGAGCATGCAGTCTATAAGCAGAAGGGACCCTCAATCTCTTTAAGGGGCAGTTATAGTAAATGTAAGGGCATAACAGCCTAATGTATATCTGCTCCTGCTTCATATACTTCATCATACTGTATATTGACAAACCTCTCAAAAATAAAATACTGGATGAATGGTTGTTGGAGGGATTTAATTTGAGGTAATGGATTAGAGCCCTTTGTAATAAAATGCAAAGATATCCACTGATTGTCTTTTTAGGCCAGTTGTCAGTACAAGAAAAGCTTAAAATCATGCAACAAATTACTTTTCTCTTTTGAAAACTACTGTTCTGTTCATTAGAAGTTGTATCATTCCAATGGTGGAATGTAACAAATGTACTTGAGTATTTCAATTTTAAGCAACAAATACTTCTAATCCACTCCATTGAGGCAAACATATTTAACTGTTTCCTCTAAATGTATTCAACACTTATAGTTAAGAGCTATTTTGTACACATAAAAACAAATCAAATGCTTATATGATATGCTGTTATTACATTAAATACCCAGTATTTTATTAAGGTAACTGAAATTGGCTCAGCTTTGACAAACATTAAAAAATATTATGACATATACATATATATAAAAACAGAATAATATTTTCCGTATTACTATGATTTTTTTTTAACTTTTGATTACGCTGTCTTTATATTACTTCTGTAATTATACTTAAATAACGTTTTTATTTTAAGACTTTTACTTTTAGTGGAGAATTTTAATATTTCTACATTCACTTAAGGAAAGGATCTTTAAGTAACAGTTCTGAGTACTTCTCTCGCCACTGTGTTATTCCCTATCACAAGTATAACATTTTCCATCACAGCATTAAGATGTAGTGACACACCAGTAGGTGGCAGTGCACACCATCTGCCACTCTCTGCCCACTATCACTGCATTGCACCCAATTAACTGCTATGACACAGCCAACTAACCTAAATCATTATCCCACGGCCATCCATTCACACACACATTAAAACTCCCTCCACTGTCTCATAATAAAGTTACAAGCATCATGCACACAGCTGATTTTGCTACTAATACGTTTATTTGACTGAAGTCACCATAGAGCTTTTTCATCATTACTCTCATTTCCTTTGGCAAATATATAAGCCAAAAACACCCACAAAAAAAGTAACTAACAAAAAAGAGAGAAAAACCGCAGATATCTAAAACAGAATGAAATAAAACTACTTTACAGTACAGAAAACATCTAATTCATTGATATAATTAACATGGCAATGGTAGGGAATTCCATTGAGGACACACAGTTTTCGTATCTGGTTTCTTGTTAATGTGCTATTTTTCATTAAAGGCCAGGCAGCAAACAGTTGTTATGCCTGAAACTCGGAAACCCTGTGGTTTGTTAATGGTTCCAATTTCCTTGCTCTTTTTAACCACGGCAGGAAGTGAACAGAAGTGGGGTTTCTTCCCCCAGTCCTGTATTCACATGGGGGCCAGTCGAGCCAAACTGGCACAGCAGTCAGTGGACATTACAGAGTTGGTGGATTTGGACAATGAACTAATTTATCATAACAGCAGCAGCAATGTGGCTGTTTGGAGAGCTAGTATCTGCCCCGGTGGTAAACAAACAGAAGACCAAGTTCATGAATGGTAAAGTGTAAATGGTGGCGACTGTGGAGCTGGGCCTTAATGAAAGTCTACCAATCAGAGGGTCAGCGGTTTGATTCCCAGCCCTACCTGTCTACCTGTTGAAGTCTCCTTGGGCAAGATACTTCACACTAAATTGCTACAGTGGGCAATGGCTTTGCTTTTGAAGTGTTTGTAAGCTAAATAACATAATGTAATATTACTTGCAGAACTTTTATTTGATAATAAGACTGGAGAAGAAGACCTCAAAAGATTAGTCGAATCTATTTTCAAGTAGAATTGTCAGGAAATGTTGTTTTCTGCCTCTTAAATATGAAGATTTCCTGCTTGTTTTATGTCATATTGAAGTCAAAGTCTTTGGGACAAAACACTTTTGGACTTTTGAAAAACATTTGGATGAACATTTCTCACCGTATAGACTAAACGATTAATCTAGAAAATATATAAACACAAATGAAACAGCACTCAAACACAAATTGGCTTTGCGATAAGGATGAACCGTTCTCCCTCAATAATGGAAATAATACTTTAAGGATATTTTAATGTTAAAGGTAGAAAACCTTCTGTGTTTTGGCACCTTTTAAACATTTTCCTATCTGTGTCAATAAACCCTACTGATATCGTATTTGACATTCAAGCAGAGGTACATCACGAGCCTAGACCCATACTGTGAGCCAGGAGTTAGTATGTTGATGAGTCACTGATTCCTTCAGGCAGATTCACAATGTTTTTTTTTTGTCATCTGGAGAAATGTAATGCATTTTTTTTAAAACTGTGAACTTTTGAATGGAGCTGATTGTTGTCCTTGCAGAAGACACAGCTCCACCAATATGCCTCCCCCTGTGTTTATTACTGCATAACAGCAACATGTTCTACCAGTTTGGCTACAAAGTGCCGAAGCGCGGGTTTCACCGGACAGACTATCTCTATTATTGGCGAGGGACCTCCCACTGAGAGTGAACAGGCAGAAAGAGGAGAAGGCTTATGAAGCGGAACCATCCATCTCTCCCTGAAACAAGCATCTGCACTGGCAGGAGCGAAAAACAATCGCACGGAAGGAAGTGGTAAATAATTGAGCTCAGGAACAAAGCTTTAGAGATGAGGCTTCACATTTCAGCTCTAGTTGCTGAGAGGCTTCTCTCTCTGGTGTAAAGTATGTATATGAGTTTTCATTTCTAAGTAGCAGACACAAACCTTTCAACGTGACGGAGAATAACTTTTCTACTGTAAATCAAGACGCAAATTGATGCAGCGTTATTGTCGTCGGTATATTGAAATGTGATCGCGAATAAAAACCTTTACTTTATTGCTGTTTTCCCCCTTGCACCTTTAAAGTATCCTCATAGTAACTGCGGTTAGAGTCCCACAGTAACCCTACAGCTACAAAGTGTTTTGGAAGCAAACATTTAATATATATAAAAACTGATAAGAGGAATAAAATACCCAGATGTGATCTTTAAAACAGGGGAATATAAGGACAAATGCATCGCCAATAAAACAGATACAATTCTGTTTAAAGAAGTCATTTATAAGATGACTTTCCCAGCTCCCTTGGCAGTTTCCTGTAAAACTTGGACCCTTTTGCAATAAAGGCCGGTCACCTCTGATTTTCTCCTGGAGTCTTGAGGGTCCCACGAGATCTCGGGCTGTGCTCCAACTCGAAGGCGGTTTGAATAACAGCGTTTTCTGCCAGTATCTGCATACTCACGTCTGCTTCAATGCATAAAGACGAGGCCTTTGTACTCCCCCCCTCGACGATGCACCAAGCTCTATCCTGACTTCCAAAACAGGCTTTGTTTCCTTGTCAGTCAAATGGGAGCCAGTGTTGTTTTATTTCACATTCCATGATGAAATCAGTCGAAACTGTACTTCATAAATATCATTCATCTACCTGATTCAGCTTTCCATTTGTGGCAGCAAAATTGGTTTGAGGATGTGGGACGTAGTTTGCTTTTCCAATGTTAGATTGACATAGTGACCAAGCAGATTAAATGGGATTTGTTTTGTTTTTGAAGATCATAAAAAAACATATTTTTAATGAACACTGCACTCCATTTCAAGCCTTAATTAGCTGGATTAATATGATGAAACTGCAAGGTTGTGTAACACCATTAAAAGATAATTATTGTTCATAGTACAATGACAGAAACATATTCCTCCCCAGGCTCTCACCACTGGCACTATCCCAGGCTTCATTGATGTGGTAATGAACCTGAATTCTCCGGCACTGCTGGAAGACAACCTCATCTGGCAAGCCAAAACAGCAGGGAAGAGGATGGTCTTCTACGGGGATGACACCTGGGTGCGCCTCTTCCCCAAACACTTCATGGAGCACGATGGCACCACCTCCTTCTTCGTATCCGACTACACGGAGGTATGTGTCAGCCCATCAGTCTTGGTCAATGTTGTGGTTCTATGCTTGTATGATCAAAGGACCGTGAAAGCACCTGATGGCAAATATGAATCAGGAATTTTGAAAATGGTGAGAAAATCGTTAAACCAAACAAAATGCAAGAGAAAAACTTGTGAAATAATGAATTTTTTGTTTAAAGAGAGCACAGTGCATATTTTGTATTTAAAAGTATAAAAAACCAACATTTATGCTCAAGTTCTCATAGAAAGTGTATTTTTTTTAACAATATTATAAACATAGACTGCATATAACAAGTGGATGTAGTTCCCACGATGTCCTCCATTGGTTTGTACTACCGATCTGAAGCCTTGATTTTGTCAATTTTGCCATCGCCATCTTGGTTTTTTGGATCCAGAAGTGTTTGGAGAATAGTGTGGAGCGCAACAGAAGCGATACTGTCAGCATTACAAAAGCTTAAAGTTACCCACTAAAACCAGTAGTAGTTAAGTTATTAAGATGCGTTCTGAATTCATGTTAACTGTGGCATTAATTGAAATGCTAAAAACAGGCTTGTTTGTTTAAAGTGGACCTATCGTGCTATATTTGAATAATATAGTGTAGGACCATACCTATATAAGGCATATTTATACTTTTTTTTTTTTCAAAATACCAAACAGATCATGCATTTTAGCCATGCCTCATTTCGCTCAATTTGACATTTTTTAGCTCTGTTTTTGCAAGGGCTGATTCAGTGAGAACAGCACCACCTACTGGCCTGGCATATGTACTACAGCGTCTCCAGCGCTTTCGAACGGCAATGGCCGTGGCTGTCTCCTCCTGATTGGTGGAGTTGACCCAATAGCCGTAGCGCCACCGTCCTGACGTCAGGACAGTGTTCAAATCTGGATCAGTTTTTATCAGATCCGTTGCAGCCCCTTTTTTTAGAGATTTGGGTATGGAGGAAAATAGAGAGGGTTGTGTTTTCTGACACTTGGTGAGTTCCCTGGAACACCGGGGACACATATTCATGTATAAAAGACGTACAAAAGTGCATTTTGCATGATAGGTCCCCTTTAAGTTACATACTTATCTGAACTAATTTGCAGCCAACTCCTTAAAGTGTTTTAGAACAAGAAGCAAAGCTAAGCAAAACAGGAATGGTGAGTGCATACACATAAACCTGCTAATTACTGCTAACATAAAAATAAAGTACATTTACAAATTCAATCCATGAAAATACTGTAGCACAGACTTGTTATAACAACTAACCACAATAAAAAGCCATACTCTTTGTCCAATATTTGAATGTTCAGCGACCTAAATTAGCGGAGCTAAGATCTAGCTAGCAGCTAGCCACCTGTGACTGCAACTTCCTGTCACTCAAAGCGACCACGCCCTTACTTATGCACGGGTGTGTTATCTAAAAATGTAAACAACTTCAAATTGAGCAAGCAGCAATTGGCCATTAGAGGAACTGCAGTTTCAACTTCAATTACGACACCAAAGATTTGGTTGTAACCCAGTACGAAGAAGACTGTAAATAATGTATTAATCAGAGTTGGAAAAAGTACTCAGATCTTGTACTTGAGTAAAAGAAGAAGTACCAAAGTGTAGGAATACTCTGTTAAAAGTAAAAGTACTCATTATGCAGATTGGTCCATTTCAGAATAATATATATGATATGTTTTATAATGATTGATCATGAAAGTGTTCTCAAAGCTGGTAAAGGTGCAGCTAGTTTGAATGACTTTGTATACTGCAGGGTAGCTTGTGAATTTGCTCCAGGTGGAACTAAAGTCTGATTTAACACTTGATTATATTTACCATCATTCATCCACATCTGTAAAGTAAAGGGATTCAATACATGTAGTGGAGTTAAAGTACAGTATTTACCTCTGAAATGTAGTGGAGTACAATGTAGCATAACATGGAGATACTCAAGTAAAGTACAAGTACCTCAAAATTGTAGAGTACTGGAGTAAATGTACTTAGTTACTTTACATCACTTAATAATTAAGAAGTGGTTTATGAATTCTGAGGAACATGCTTTGTGTATCTAGAAAGGACTCAGTCACAGCGTTACCTACAAAAGTTATCTCCATGAAAGAGATGAAGTCAGATGAGCAACCAGGGAGGCTCAGAGATGAGTTCACATAAAAAGCTGCTCATCAATTCACAAAAGTGTTGTAATATTTGCCTGATGATAATCAGATAATTATCAGACTCTATCGCAGCCTGAGTAAAGCTCCCCTCAGCTTAACTTTTGTTTGCTCTAGGGGGCGATTTTGAATAATTCCAACATGAATTGGTTTTCAGTTGAAATCCTCTCGATCAGTAAATGTCTATCTTACATCACGTCTCCATGTAGGTTGACAACAATGTGACCCGTCACTTGGATAGCACCCTGAAGAGAGACGATTGGGACATTCTGATCCTGCACTATCTGGGCCTGGACCACATCGGCCACATCAGCGGACCCCACAGCTCGCTCATCCAGCCCAAACTGATGGAGATGGACGACATCCTGAAGAAGATTCACAGTGCCCTCATTTCAAAGGTAATTTCTTGTTGTCCTAAACCAGGGGTAGCCAACACGTGAGTCGCCCGCGGGGCATGTTCTAAAAATAGCTCGCCAAGCAAATCCAAAATGTAAAAAATACACACAAAAAAAAAGGAAATGTAATTAAAATAATCTACCCTATGCATAAACGAAACCTCAATCATAGCGAACTCTATCTACTTACTACAACTCTATATCTATCTAACACCCCTCCTCCCCCCACCCCCCCAATGAATATCGACCAATCACGTTCTTGCTTGATTTGCGGGACCAGCGTTTCAACATTTCTTTGCTTATGAACATCTGTTTCTCTCCGTTAAAATCCATTAAACTCAACACCACACTTCTATTATATATATATATATATATATATATATATATATAACTTTCTTTCAACTTTAAAATCCACTCGACTAAACAATACACTTCAAGTTTTTGTAGTAAATTAATATTTCCAAAAAGAAGAGTTTTCATAATAGTAATCCATGTCAATATATAGCAAATAAATTAAATATGCAAGTCTCGAGTAATGATCAATATATTAATGTGATACTATCAATTTTTTTCAGCATGATCGGATTGTCGTTTAATTACACAGATAATTTGTCCCCGGCAGTTATTATACTATCTGTCGCAGCAACCACAGAGATTTAATAAACTGTTAAGCATCGCTGTTATCTTTAATTTCGTCTCTGATCAGTTTGCAAGTCCTGGGGCTTTGTTTCCTCCGCCGCGGCCCAACAGCTGTGCATGCATATTGTCTTTGTACCCTGTGTGTGTGTTGTTAATGGGCATCGTTTCGTTTGTCATTTAGCTCGTATTTAGATTGTCAAGTCATGTCAGCATGGGCGTACAATCTCCCTCCAACCCTTTAGCATCTCTTGAATGGAAAAAAAGCCCAATTGCAGATACGACTGTAGGCTTTTTCCTCTTTCCAAAAGACAGTGAATGGGAAATGTCGATGCAACATTTCACCACGTCCCCCTGAAGTATTTTCTTCTGTCTTGTTAAATCCTGTCTCTGCAGGCTCAAGGCGACATCTGTGTGTTTTGGGCAGTGGCAGCCCCATATGTGCTCCCAGTTCACTCTTTGAATGTATCTCGTTTCAGTCACATTAAAAAGCTGTTCTTTTCTACTGCAGCAGAGCCACCTAAAAATAGACACAGCCCATTGGGGATACCTTTAGAAGCTTCTACACATCTCTGTTTTCTCTACAACCACATGCCTTCTTACATGTTGGCTGACCTTTTGTTGCTTCATCCTCCAGTGGTGGAACGAATCATAGTTCTTGCTGCAGTGATGGAAAAAGCGAGGTAGTAATCCACTCAACGTTTCTGTTGTAATGTAATACGGGTGGGCTATTTCAGGGAGTTCATTTAGGGGCAGGGACATGGTCTACCTGCAGAGTGGACGCACGCAAAACTCTCCATTAAAACGTGATTGGAAAGCAGGACCCGCCGCTCATAAAGACCTCCATCACACCTTTGTGTTAATGGAGATCACATGGCCTCAATTTTCTCTTCTGGATGTTTCCGATTTATAAGGTTTGGCCGCTGCTTTAAGTGTTTGAAGTGCAAAACGTCCCAAACCTGACCGGCAGAGCGCCGTGTAATCTGAGCCGTGTAGTAGAGAAATTAAATGTTGAAATGTGTAGAGTGTGTTATCGTAATTTTTCTTCTTCTTTCTTGTAATAATCTGTGCTCACGAAAGTCCTGAATATTCTCCTGTTATTGAGCCATATGCTATATTATAACTCGGCAACGTTTTTCGTAAAAGCAATTGTACATTTACCACATTGGTTCCTGTTTTTTTCTGACGTACCCTGACTGCTTTACTCTATCAGAGGAGATATTGGAAATATCCTTTCATTCGCACTACTAGACAATGGTTCATACCCTATGTTATATTTTACAGCGTTAATTATATCAATCAAAAAACGTTAGTAATTTAGAAAATGAGGTTTTGTGCAGTTGCACCATATTGGAATAAAATAAATAAATATTTATACAAATTTTAGTTGAAGTTAAAATGTGCAATAAAAGTATTTGTAGCCACAGGCACACAGCGTCTTAGACACAGGGACGAGGCGGGACGTCAACAGCAGAGACCCTCTGAAGACTCAGGCTCATGTTGAAGACATGGTGAAGCTCTCGGTGCAATCCTTGTCGGCCCAATCAGTCCGGAAGTCATTGATGGAAAAGTTGGAATCGTGTAGATGGAAACATTGATGGAAAAGTTGCCCAAACAGTCCAAGCCCCCAGGAAGTGTGCCGGACTCTGATGAAAATATTCGTTGTGTCCAAACGGCGGTACTACAATTTCCGTATCAGTCCGTGACGTCACTGGGCCCAGAAATACTTTTTTCCATTGACTAACATTGAGAAAGAGACGTCTGTAAATCAGCGGATACTTTTTTTTACACTACCCCGTATGAACTATTTTATAGCCCTTATTATAATCATTAGGTCCTTAAAGTTGTAAAATGCACTAAAAGTCGAATCTAGATTTATTTTCTGTCTCCATTCATTCTACTGAGCCAAGAGTGGGCGCTCGGGGGGCGGGGCTTAAGGGGCGCATGCTCTTTGAGCGCACATACGGGTTATTCTGCTCTGACAGCCAGGCATGATGGGTAATCTGTGACGTTTCGTTCTCTCAAAAGTTGGGCCATTTTGTCCTCGTGCGCCAATGAGCTCTCACAGGAAAGAACGAGACCCCGCCTCCGACAATGTATCCAGTTCTTATTATACATCCATGTAACAGTCGGGAAGCCATCGATGGAAACGTTGTCGTCAGATATGTATCCTGATGCAGCCTTGTTTCTATAAAGCTCATTAAACTTCACTTCAGATATTCTAGCCAGCTCCTGGCTAACGGCGATAGCTTGTCCATTAGACAGTGATCTTACAAGATGTTGCACATGATGAGAGGGAGGAAACACGGCTAATGAATGTACAAGGAAAAAAAGGGAAAATAAGAGTCTACAAAACTGCTGCATTTAAATTCCAACAAAGATCCATTATTTAAGTTATATATTTTGGACTATTTATTAATTATTTTAAGCTAGCAAATGCTACTTCTTGATGCTAATAGTTGCTATTTTAACCAATTGAGGTTGAAGGGCAGCTTTTTGGTTTTTCTAAAACTTCTGAAGATCAAATTAACACCAATTTAAAATCCTATTTGGCTGTTCCTAACAATAATATGTGGGCTTTATTTTTCTTTAAACTAATTACATTTAGTATTTTTAAGTTCAGTTAATTTGGCAAGCTTTCCACACATCCTGCATGGCCGCTTTCAAAGAACCCCCCACGGAATCACTGATTTACCAGATGAAGAGGCATGATTTCAGAGTGAAAATGGAAACCATTAGGCTTGTTCTTTTTTTGGCTCGCTTATGAAGAACATGAGTTATTGAATTCAGCATGCATGGTACCTTGTGTATTGGTTTTCAAAAAAGCTTTTCTTATGAAGTGGGGAAAAAGTCTCCCTAAAGGCCCCTGGTGCTTTTCATCCTTCGAGGACAGAGGTAAACTCTGACTTCTCCTGAAAAGAGACGCAGCTCAGTGTGGGGGCTCACTAGTGTTTAGTACCGGCCTTTTTTGGGTCCCATGTGTCCAATGCTGTTTATAACAAGCATCCAACAGGTAAGATGTAGGACAGAGGGCAGTCTTTGCTGAGTGAGTAACAGATATAATGGCTCAGCTGAGAGCACGCTGGCTCAGTTTGGCTTTGGATCAACAACATTCGATTTAGCTACAGCTACATTTACACTTATGCTGACGATGGTCTTTTCTGCGTGTCTGTGCGCATAAAGTCATCCTCAATGTGAGTAACATTTCATCTGACTTGAATCGATCTCAGCCTTTCAAAAATCATTGCTTATGCTGTCTTTCAGGTTGTGTTTTCATCAAGGGTTGATAGAATTGTTCACAATAAATGATTTGTATCTTTACATGCTACATCTCTATAACTGATGAGTCTTTTGAGAGTTTTGTAATGTGTGGTAAGATTTGGCTTTTGTTTTGTTAACATCTGCAGTCGTGTTTTCCGATCAGCCCCCTCTGCCGTGACTCACAATGCCTCCTTGTCGAGTCAATAGAAGGTTGTCGTGACGTCTAGTTGAAAGGGAATCACTGAGGGGAGGAACCCGGTGAGATCAAAGTCTCTCCGCCTCAGAAAGAATCATCCTGTGTTTGTTTGCTGCCATTACCACTGCATTGTTTTTTCCCTTTGCAGATGAAGTGAAAGTCAGGAAGCGTCTGTCAGGACTTCCTTTTCTTGAGTAATAATTCAATACCTTCCTTGTCTGCTGCTGTTAAATGTCTCCAACATAATGAGAACATCAAAACTACCCCAGCAGCAGTAATTTTACTCCACCATTTCATATGAATATTGTTTTGAATATTCCAAAGTTTCTTTATCAGCTTTTATGACATGTGACCTAATGATTCCAAATTCATGCAGAATTACAATATTGTTAAGGAAATGTGGTTATTTCTTCTTTAAAATCACATTTTTTCAAAGGTTTCCCCCCCAGTTGTTCCCTTTCCCAGACTCCAAATCAATGCAGCATTGTATCTCAACACTGGAGGGGTGGGCTTACCTCTTTTGTTTGGATTTTCGTGATTTTTATATTTTATACTAATAGTGTTATTGAACTTCAGCTGTTGTTAATTAAAACGTTTCCTCTTTTTTGAGCTTTCATGTCATGAGAACCCAGTGACTCCAAATCAATGCAACATTGTATTACTACATTGGACAAGTAGGAAATACCTATATTGCTTATAAATCATTCTTCTTGAAAAGTCTCAAAAAGTGGCTTTCATTCCATGTGACCCAGTGACATCCAAACTGGATATTCTTTTTTGTTTCATTTGGTGCCATCCTTGAATTATTCACACCTCTGAGCTTTGAGGTTGTTCACTCACAGATCACATACAGTGGGAGTGCATTAACCTTGGTGTGTGTGTCCCCCAGGAGGCCGAGGGGTCCTTGCCCTACCTGCTGGTGCTGTGCGGGGACCACGGCATGTCGGAGACCGGCAGCCACGGAGGATCCTCCGAGCCGGAGATCAATACGCCCCTGGTGCTCTTAAGTCCGGCCTTCAAAAGAAAAGGTAAACCGTCTAATTTTGCTTAAATAAGCTGTGGGCAGATTCTGTGTGAGAGGGGGGCGGCAAGTGATACCATTACAGCTTCAGCCTGTCAACATGCAGAGTCATGAAGTGTGTGGACAAGACGTGATTTTATATATCTAATAAAAGCGATAATTGGGAATGTTTGAAGTGGGGTTGTATGAGGTTCTTATCCATAGTCAGTGTATTCCCTACAGTAGATGGATGTCAGCACCCCCCCCCCCCCCCCTGTTTGGAGTAACAGATATTAGTACCAGCAAGAAGCTAAGCAATGTACTGCTGTGGGTGGAGGCAGCAGAAAAACAAAAGCAACAAAATAGTATCAGTTAAAGTCAGTGCCATATCCTGATCCTCTAATAAACCCTCATTTTAAAGCGTCTTTGCGAACAAGGAAAAGCACTATATAATTACCATGTAGTATTATTATTATTATTATTGCTTTATGCTTTAATGTTCAAAAAGCTCTTTATTTTTCTCATATTGCCTGTGCTGCAGCACCTCTTTTCACCCTCTGTCTGAAACCAGAGCCCAGTCTGCTCTGCTCTGCACGTTGCATTCACGTAAAAGGTGTTGGAAAGCTAGCCAATAGAAGTGCGAGTGTTACATAGTGATGTCACTATGTCAAGGAAGTAAACAAAGGACTACAATCAAGGCGTTTAAGGCACATCGGGTGTCAGACCATTAACATGCACAAACACCTATAACACACTACAGGAAAGGGAAAAGTCCAAAAAGCAAAATAGGGCCTCTTTGTTTACTGAACAATGATGCACTCGTTGTAGCGAGTCTATAATTTTGGATGTCCATGCTCAAAAATGTCAGGATGAGATTAAACATGCGTCATTTTTCTACTGCAGTTGATTTCAAGACAATTCCCAGACATTATATAACCGGTATTGGCAAAAGGATCTCTGTATGCCTTTTAATCTGTGCTCATTTCAGATTTAAATCAGCAAATTTATGCACTGATTTAACAAAAAAAAAAGGTTTTGTTTTGCCAAAAGTTACAGTTTTTTCCAAGTAAAAACAGATGCAGTGCACACAGTCTAACTGATATTGTTTCAGGTTGCTAAAATATGTTTAGCTGCTGTCTCATCCACAGCAGTACATTGCTTAGCTTCCATATCGTACATCTTAGCAGTTTTTCAATTATGCAAGCGTGCCAAACGCCACCGCAGCAGGTAGTACACGGACCCTGCATTAGTACTTTAAGGCGTTATTTCTGTCCACTTCTCCATCCTTCTGCAGATAGAGTTTTATTAATGACCGAAAAATGTAAATCAGTGAAAATAAACTTGTAACCAGGAAACATTTTCTTTCATGCTTACACATAACTTTCCATTAATTTAAGCGAGGAAGTGTCACCTCGATGAAGCGCAAATAGAAACTCCTGATCAGAACTCCATTTTGGAGTGATGAATGTGTTGGAGTGTGAACGTGTGATCGTGATAATTGCTTCTCTCTCAGCCAAGTCTATTTTTGAGATTTCTTTTTGCCCTGATTTTTTACATGTATTTATAGTCCATCATGTTAATAATCATTTACAGTCTTCTTGAGTTGTTGCTACGAAATTGGTGGTTTCGCTCTCACCCTGTGCTTCCTGTGGTGCTGACAGCTTGAATGACTTGCCCTCCATTCAGACTTTAAATTGTTAAAGTGTATCAATCACAGAAGGGCAGGAAGTACATGCCAAATTCTGTGTTCTCGTCAATGAAATGCATTCAAAGCCTGTTGAACTTCCTGAATTCTTGAAGTGGTGGATTTTCTGTGATTCAATGTTTCTTTAAGAACTAAAGCTCATATTGTAGCAACTCTTTAGAGCTGTCATCACAGAGTGGTTTTCAAAGAAAGTAAAGGCAACAGACATACAATACAAACCTTTTACATCTGCTGAAAAGGAGGGCTTTATTGATGGCCAAATACAACCCACAGCCTGTCATCAGATGTTACTTCTTTAAAGCAATGAGAAGGGCACAAAGACAAATAAAGAAATACAGAAATCCAAAATGTAAAAGAACCAAACATTTTTTACTCTAGCTAGACATAGTCTGTTCCTGTAGGATTACATGGAGTATAATAAGAACAACATATGTTTGTAGGACCTTTAAGTCTAGTGTTCTTTGTCCACTTTTGTCATAGTGGTGTATATATCTCTTTCACGAACAAACCCCACACATCTACAAACATAAAAACTTGAAAAAACGTGACAGAAACTTTTCTTTGGCTTTGTAATATTGCAGACAAATAGATCTGCGGCTAACACACGTTTTGTATTAACCACAGACCTTATTTCTGGAGTCTTACCAAAAACTAATTGAAAACATATTCACTTTGAGGCGAAGGAGCTTGGAAGTGCTAAAATGCTAGCTCATTTCTGGGTGTAAGACTCATTCCTTCTCCACTCTATCGCACCACGAGTCTTTTGTGACCTTTATAATACCGAAACAGAATCTCTATTATTACCACCTCAGATGCCCACATGTTGACGTGGAAATGTGTTCTATTTAATGCATCAGCTAGTGCAGTCAGTGGCCTCATCAGCATAACTGGTTATTTCTAACACAGTGGGAATGGTGGGACATTAGTAGAAAACTGAACTGCCTGTTGTTTTTCATTACTGGCTCAGTACCTGATCCCCACTTTCTAATCTGAATGCATCATTGAGGAAACAGCCCTCTCACTGCAGATTGGCAGAACATTTAGTCGGCAGTGGTGATCCTGATAGGCACTGCCACTTTAATCAGTGTAGGTAAATAAAGCCTCTTTCCCACTGGACAACAACTCTAACACCCACTAACGTCTGGCTTTTGTCTTTAGCCGTAAAGGTTACAGTTGCCATTTATTCCCGGGCCAAATTCTGCAGTAGTCAGAATACTCATTTATCCCAAGGGAAATTAGGTTTTGTGACAGTTGCTCGCTTTAATATTTAAACAAAAAGTAGAAAGATATAATATAATAGAGTAAAAATATCTATAAAAACACAACAAGTTCAAGTTAAGAATGTGCAATAAGAAGTCAAAATATAATTAAAGAATATATATTAACTGTGCACAACACTAATAAACTAAATTAAAACAAGATGAATGCCTCAAATGAACAGTGTTAAACAGTTATAAACCCATGTTATATAACATTACATCATATTTAATTAAGCTGATGCATTTATCCAAAGCGACTTACAATTAGTGCATTCAACCATGAAAAACAAATCTAAGGGAAATCAGCTATTATTGTTATCAATTATCTATCAATTAGCCAAACTATTGTAAGTGCTAATGCATTGGCTTCAAATAAGCTAAAAGCTTTTTAAATACTACATACAGCATATCATTTCTTCTTCTTATTATTTTTTGTGCAAAGTTGCAGTTGAAACTGGTGGGTTGTCAGTCTGTGACAGAAGATGTGTAAACTTTCTGAAGTCCTGACATGTCTTGAGAGCTTGTTCCACCATTTTGGAGGCAGGATAGAAAACAGGCGTGTTTTTGTTGAGCGGTTCGTCTGTCCAACTCGCAGTGGCCTACTGACTATAATCCATCCACAGCGTGATAGGCCTCCACCAGTGTCTTGAAGCGGATTCAGGCAGCAGCTGGTAGCCAGAGAAGGGAGCAGGGGAGTAGTTCAGTGTTGGAGAACTTGGGTAGGTTGAGAACCAGTCGAGCTGCTGCATTCTGGACGAGCTGCACAGGTTAAAGGCACTTGCAGTAGTCAAAGGTATAGATGACACGATCCTGGACCAGTACCTGTGTTGCCTTCAGAGTGAGGACGGGACATATTCTCCTGATGTTGTTGCAAGCGATGTTAGCAGGGAAGGACAGATGGTCGTCCAGTGTCACACCCACACAATAACAAAGGTGCAGATTTTTGATAGAATCGTCTTATTAGTATTTCACATAACTGCATAGGTTATACAGCTATGGTATTATTATATTTTATTAACATACAATTATACGCTCATCAAAGCCACCAGACTCCGTTTGAAAAAAACAACAATTTAACCTCGCTGATCTTCACTCAAACTCAACAAAAACGAAATATCTCACTTTGTTCTTCTCTCCACTGTTCCCACCACACCCAATCCTCTTTGAAAAAGAGTAAGGGATATACATAAGAAGATACCACTGTTAAATAACTCTCTGTGCCACATCATTAAAACATTAGAAAGCATACTTGTCTCGTGGCAATGGGAAATTAGTCTCTCCCCTATTTTGTTCTTCTTTTGATAAACTACATCTGCCTATACTCGCTCATTTTGATGGAAAAACGGTTTAAGGGGCCGTACACTCATCATCTACCTCAGTCCCTGTGTATCCTTCTTTAAGGAGCCATAACACACTCTATTGCAGTCAAAACAAAGAAAGCCAATAATATAAAATGAATGAAGTGAAGACATCCCAGCCTCAGCACCCACAGCAACAATGGTGCAACCACAACAGTCACTGATGCAAGAATAGCTTACAGTTTTATACATTGATGGACTATATTTCAACCTACTGATGCGTGAGAGAGATATAAATGAACTGAGCCGGTATAGTAACCATATATATATTACTTATGGCTGATTACTGTCCTTTTGTCTTTTAAACTAGTATTTTTTTGATTATTGTGTTGTGATATGACTTTTGTTTATGCTGCTCAATAAAAACGTAACTGAAACAGAGTAGACATAACCCCATTTTAAAAGTCTCTGCATTGGCAACCTGTCTGATTCCGTATTTACTTGGATATACTTTGATTGGTTTTCAAAGCTCAAAATGCTCTTTGTCCTAGCCAGTGTTTATGGTAAAAAAAAAACTAGTGCTGGTCAACGTCTCGAAGAAGATTCCCCGAACAAATGGGAGAAATTTGGGGCAAAAATGATTTGCTTTTATTTTTGAACTTGAATATGTTAAAAACAGAAAACAGACAAATTCAACCTTGTTCAAGTTTTCAAGATGAAGAAAAAGATTTAAGATTTGAGGATTTAATGGCTTTATTGTCATATGAACAGTCACAGTGTTCTCGTTGGCAATGACAAAGTTAAGTCCCAGGTCTCTCCAACAGTTCAATTTATAATTAATTTAATACATAAAGGAAAACATTCGTAAAATTGTGCAAGTGCAGAAATAGGCTTGGATGAGTCATCATTTTATCGTCCAGTCATATCAATGTAAGTAGTTCATTTCTGTAGACAATAACATGCCTTTATAAGTGATCATACATCCCTCATGAATTCAAACCCCATCAAAACAAACATTGAAGTAACTGTGCTAATCTGCTGAGAGAGCCTTGTGACGGGGCCAGCTTTTGTTACAAAGTCATCTCTAAACTGAGCAAACGCCTGGCTCTGCACAGTCATATTAGGAATCAGAAATGGCCCTGGTGTTATTTTAGAGAACATTAGTGAGCCGCAGACTTCGGTGCATATGGCCCTCATCTCATCTATGAATCAGCATTCTGCGTGTGTATCCTTTCTTACTGAATTATGACACATCTGTTCTGCCAGAGTTAGAATCAGAGTGGATATCTCTCTGAAGGTTGGATGTAAAAGTAAAGACAAAGGGTTAGTGGTCTGCCAATGAGACGGCTTCTTCTTCCTGGCTCTCAGAGAACAAATCATAAAAATATAATGCATGATTTTACACTCGGTTAATATGGGATTAGTGTTTGATAAAACCTCTTCAAGGGCTTTGAAAATACTTCCCTTTTAATCAAAAACTTGGCTCTATCAACATTTTAACATAGTGTACCGCAACTAAAAGCATAACTTCTTAAGTCTTCCATTGCTGAGTAACAGATTTAAAAGCCTCACATGCATTGTAGATTTATGGCTTTATCTTGAATAGCTATGGGCTTAATACAGCAAAGTCCTTGTCCTGTTGCAAATGCGGTACAATGGATGATTCGCCAGCTTATTTCATTGTGTCCAATTTCCAAATTAGCTCACAGCTCTGGGGTTTGTCCCAGTCTCACTCCCCCACACATACTGTACGAGCGCTATTGTTCATTTTCTGATGTATTCCACATCAGTAGAGTTCATCATTGTGACCCAAAAACTTCACTCAGACACAAACAATTTCTAAATATATCTGCTATTCTTTGTTACCTTGATTATAAACAACCAACAAGACGTCACTAACATATAGCCCGTATATTTTATATAACGTGCATTATTAATCTTTCTTGTGTTCCCTTCCTCTAGTGGTTTGAATAGGTTTGTGTGCATGTGAATGGTCTGCAAAGGCTGAAATCCCTGTGTTCCCTCCAGAGGGAGTTTCTCTCCCACACACCTGCCTGCCTGAAACGCCTCCATTGGACTCCTTTGTTTACTTCCGCAACATAATGACATCATAACGTAACACTTGTGCTTCTATTGGCTAGCGCTCAAACACATTGTACATGATAGGCTAAGGGGCGGGACATCTCTAACCAATTGACCAATCACATCAGAACAGGCCAGCTAACCAATCAGAGCTCTGGTTTCAGACAGAGGGTGAAAAGAGGTGCTGCAGCACAGGCAGAGAGCTTTCTGAACATTAAAGCATGGAGGCATGTCACAGTAGAGGCATGAAATACAATAAAGAAACCTGTAAATGAGCATAATGGGGGCCTTTTTAATTAAAAAAAACAAAAGCCGACTGGGCTGTAGATTTTGCACCAGGCTCCTGACATTTTCCTTGTGACCGCAGCTTGACTGTCCTGAGGGGAAGAGGAAGCAGCATCAGTGAGATGCTGTAAGAGGCTGAGATTAGAGTGATATGTCCCAGTCAAATGCGTTATACATAATCCCCAACTTCAAACTAACAGAAATACGTGGGATTCTTCACTGTTAGTGTTGTTGTCATGTTTATGACTTTAGGGAAAGGAGATCCTTTTTTACATTTATTTTGATGAGTGTTGTCAAATTCTTTTAGACAAGCTCTTATTGTGTGAATTTCCACATCAGACACGCTGAAAATTGATCAATTTCTCTGTGTCCATCATGTAAATAGTTTGTTGTGTTTGAATTGCTTTGTAGTTTGAAGTAATACAATGTGACTTGTGTTCTTATTATTTTACCCACACAGTAGAGATTCAACATTTGGTCTGAGAGCTTTTTCATTTTCTGTTTCTGACACTGCAGGTTTGTAAGGTAACAATCCACTGGCTGCCAGAGTGCATTACATTTCGAGTATTTCTTGGATTAAATAAAGAAGAGTTTTTACATTCAGTTTGAACAGATTCCATGAATTTTGTACAGACTGATGGACAAGTGAACGTTAGAAAACAACACAGCAAATCAATAATACCATCAAACTACAAAAAAAAGAGGATAGTTATCAGTGCTCTCCTCAAAAAATATTAGTCGACATACTTTTGTTTTTGTCTAATTGATTAAATTATATAATCCACAAATCTCCAACTGAGTTTCAAAACAACTGCTTTAAATCTTAGAAAAATGACTGGATTTGAGAAATCCAAGGATCCTCACTGTTTTGCTTTTTTGTGTTTCTGCCCTGTGGTCTCAGCGGGCATGGAGAAGCCTGGAGTGGTGGAGCAGGTGGACCTGCCTCCGACCCTGGCTCTGGGCCTTGGCCTGCCCATATCTCTGAACAGCGTGGGCCGCGTCATCCCGGGCGTCCTGGAGGAGACCTCACTCCGAGACCAGCTGCGCTTCCTGCATCTCAATGGCCACCAGCTCAGCTGCCTGCTCAAAGACAGCGTACCCGATTATGAAAAAGGTAGGTTTACAAATTCCCTGTGTCCTCACTGAAGGTTGGAAAGTCGCCACCTCCTCTGACAGTGAGTCTGTAGTGGGATCAGTGGCTGCATTTGTTAATGTACACAGCGGTGTGAGCAATGCCAATAGAGGGAAGACAGTTCAATTTCAGAAAGAGTTCTTTACAGCCATTCTGTTCTTACTCTATTGAATCTGTCAGAACTGGCAAACTCATAACAGGTCAGTTCCCATTACTCCTTCTTAAACTTCAAAAGCCATCTTTTTGAAATGCCAAAGAATAAAAGTCCAGCAGATATTCAAGATTCTGCTAACTACCTCTTATAAATCTTCTTTATGCTCAGTGACCTTCTACTTGCAGATGTTGAGATGTTGATGTTTACTTCATCACAGTTAAAGCTGCACTTATCAATATGTTTCTAAAAGACTAAAGAAAGAATTAATTAGAACATTTGATTTATTGATTGCTATCAGGGAATACAGTATTTCATCAAATAACAAACAGTTGTTTCAAAAACACATTAGTTGTGCTAGCTTGGAAAAACAATCACTTTTGAGATATTAAGCACTGGGACATTAAACTCACAACACCCTGATGAAAAAACATTGATCGCTCGTAAGCCATCCCTATTTATCCCTTTAAAGTCCATTTTTAGCCCCACCTATAGTGGAAGTAGCACTGCATGCTTGTTAGTGGTGTGATACTGCGCTTCATAGCCATGCACAGGGTTCCCGCGGGGTCTTAAAAAGTCTTACATTTGATAATCTGAATTTAAGGCCTTGAAAGGGTCTTATATATGACAAAACAAATAAGAAAGGTCTTAAATATGATTTAGAAGGTCTTAAAAATGATTGGATTTGAAAGGTACTTCTGTGTTGCGATAGAGAGGCGAAGTCCCTCCCTTTCCGGTGGACCTCCATGGGACCTTATTTCGGAAGAATTATGTATTGAAGTAAATGGCGAGAGAAACGTTATCTTTCGATCCCGTTTGAATTGTGCCACGAATTACACATATGATGTTTGTCAATTTAAAAGATAATTTTGCAAGTAAACCGCTCAATGAACTACATCTCTGGTCTCGCACAACAACACACGTCACCAAGATGACCGTCACTACTGTCTTGCCAAACAAGGGATTGACTACCCTCACTATCACCACAATGAAACACGTCCAGAAGAATGTCATGCAAAGCTGCCTGCCTGCCTGCCTTCCTTTGATTCTCCCTGAACTGCCTGATCTTTTTAATGTTCAATGTTAACCATTTGTGCAGATGGCATGAAGTAGAAAAGATCGCCGATGCTAATGTAGCGTTAGCGTTAGCATGTCTCCCCTGGGGGCATCCGGGCTTAAACGGTGTATGATAGAAGGATCACACCGGTGTGACAGTACTCTTCAAAGGGTTCACGAAATATGACTACTACTCTGCTGTTTAACATTTTGGGTTACTTAATGTTACTTCATGTTAAGGCTAATACAAATGACAAGGCTAAGGCTGTAATGCTAACTAACGTGATCACTTACGCGACTCTGGGATTTGTAGTCTTTCTAGTTTTCATAGTCTTATATTTCAACAGTTTTATGACAAACTGTGACTTTTTTGACATGAAAATGATTTTTTAAGATTGACAAACATCATATGTGTAATTCATGGCACAATTCAAACGGGATCGAAAGATAAAATGTCTCTCCCCATTGACTTCAATACATAATTTTTCGGAAATAAGGTCCCATGGGTCGGAAGTAGATGGGCGGGACTTCGCCTCTCAATAGACTAGGGGTCCTATTTTCGCTCACTATGAATTACGAGCAAAGTTCAATTCCTGTGAAGACAAACCATTAAATTAGCTAAATAAAATGTAAAAATGGCCCGAAAAAACCCACTAACGCTAATTGCGGAAAGCCGATCTATTCGTCATAATGCTCAACCCTACTCTTTAAGATGATAATAAGTCAATGTTGTGCTGCCCTCAAGTGGCCAGAAAAAAATATCTATTACAGAAAGTAAAATGAGAATACCCCATAATTATATATATATATATATATATATATATATATATATATATATATATATATATATATATATATCCCATAAGCTATCAAGACCACATACTGTATGTTAGCTCAGACTTAGACTCAGCGGATCATTGTTGATTTAGATGATGGTTTTATTTGCATTCCACTCACAGTTTTGTGCACGCTGAAAAACAGAGATGGCACAGTCTTAATGGACTCAGAAATTGTTTGCTATAAGTCCATCTCCTCATTATTCATACAGTGTTGTCGACTACATCAAAACAGTGTTTAACCTGAAGCAGTCTGATTAACACGAGGGGAGAATCTCCTTACAAGTTCAATCGTTGCATCACACCAAAGCTCATCAACACTGAAATCTTTTATTAAAAAAAACACCAATTGGAAATTAGAGCTTGTTTTGGATGAAGATAAAACTGGTCTTTCATGCTAGTTAACGGATTGAAAAAAATAAAGATTGATAATCCTCCACATTTTTCATCTTACGGTATGTTTTTCAATTTTGTTGCTGCTAAAATTCCTCTAAAACTGTCATAAATACTGTACTGACAATATGATACTATAGCAGGTTTATGTAGAAGAAAACCTAAACCTAATCCCACCAGAAGCAAAGTATCTAAAAGAGAAACAGGAAGACCTTTTCCTGTCGTGTCAAGATGTAAATCTGTTTACTTATTTTTTTAAGTTTGTGAATAAATGACCTTCCAGCTGCGAAAACTCCTCATGGACAAGCTGTCTGAGGTCTGTTCTTGAACATAAATGCTGCCCACTCTTTGTGCAAATGCATGCACATATCCTCGCTGTGTGCTGCTCCCTACTTTTATCTCGGGGTCACACTGTTTGTCAGAGTTATACATCTCGCATTCTCTCATCTGTCTGCCTCCTGTCTCCAGCTCTGGTCCTCATTTTCACAAACATTGCACACAACAATGGCAGAGATTACCATTCCTCATGTTACATCGGTCAGTTAGTCATTTATGTCATTCTTTTAAATGAGACAGAGGGAAGGAGGAAGGAGTAAACACTTTGATAACTGCCTTGTTTGGCAAATAATTGGACATGTAATTGGGCATTTCAAGATATATGTTTTTCTCCCTTCTTTAACTGATCACTTTATAGCGAACAGGGTATTATTTTGACATGATGACCAAATAATAGTTTGTGGTGCCGATGTTGCTAACAGGCCTCAGCTGACGTTTAATACCGAGACATTTCTGAACACTGAAATAAACAAAAACATCAACTCAGAAGATCTAAAAAAGTCCATAGCAAACATGAAAGGACACATTTAATTTAACACCCAGGATATGAGAGAAAATCAGTGTGTAATCTTCACTGCATAATTAGTAGGATAAGCTTCAAATAGTGTCAATATGAATTGGATAGAAGATTAAAATACGTATGTAAGTCATAGTCAGTCTGACGGAGCATCTGCCCAACCAAGTGTTGTATACTCGTTTTTAGCATTGCTAGGGACATGGCCCTGACGTTGGTATATGGACAGTCGGACTTTAAACTATGTTGGATTACCATTACATTTAAGAAGATCCTAACATTTTTGTAGATCCTCTTAATGAGGGTGACATTTGAGACTTCAAGTTAAATGTCTCAACAAACATTAGTTTGCATTACAGTCAAATATAGCAAAGATATTAAACTCACCCTCACTTTGGTAACCCCGACTTGAAATAACTACTGCCAACATCTTGTGAAAATGTAAGTGACTTCACTGCTTTGCTTCTTTACTAAATACCTCCAACGCTAAAGCTAAATTATAACTTTAGAGCTAATCAAAACATTTTAGCATGCGGAAACACCATACTAAAATGGTGACCTTTGTAAACATCTTAACTGCTTAGCAACAGAAAGTGATGCTGCCTTTGATTTACCTCAGAAGTCAGCAGTCAGAGCTGGGAATGATGTCACACCCAACTTGTTCGCGCTCTAGTACAACAAAGTGAGCTATATCAGTTCTCGCCAGGTTAGCCATTGCTTTCAATAATAAGAAATCATGATAATTGATAACGCATAAGAGGTATTTTTCGCATGTAAACACTATAGCAAAATGTCTACACATAGAGGTTGGACAGCACTGTGTGTACGACTGATCTCATTGGACAATAAAAAGACAGAAGTCTTACAAACACTTTATCAGTAATGTTTTTCCGTCTGTTGAGGAGCAGAGCAGCCTTCTTCGAATTCAAGGTTGGTGGTGGAGAGGTTTCTCTTACATTCAAAGTTAAAAATACAACTTCAGAGGGCATTCAGGTTGTATTTAGGAACTTAGAAAAGCTGACTTCCCAGTTCAAATGGAATGCACTAATAGCATTGTTATTGTTAGCATGATGGCATTAGCATTTAGCTCAAAGAACCACATCGCCTTAAAGACGTCACAAAGCTACTAGCATGTTTCTAGACTCTAAGATTACATTTTCCACATGTACTTTATGTACATAATTACTTTACTTATCTTAAAAAGTTATATTTAACACGTATTATTTAACCACATATTTGTGCCGTCATAGGGCCTTCAGGCATTTGCATGATGGTCACATTTTCAGTACTCGTTTTTTGTAATGCTTCTTATGCTGAATTGTTAGCTAAATGTAGAGTATGTTGTCTAAATGTGTTGTGTCACTAACAGGCAAATACGCTAAACAACAAACATTGCATTTTCCAAACATGATTTTAAACTAACTTCTTACATACCCATTAAAAGAAATTCTCTCGCAGCAAATGTTCTACTCTATTTTGGTCCCTGGTTTCCATAGTGATGGAATGAAATGGAAATTATTTCAGAAGACCTACATTTTGGATGTGTTGATTTTTTTGAATCAGTCCACTTGGGTAATCATGAAGCTTTTATGCAGAATGTAATAGTTGTCACTGCTGGGAGTTTCGCCTGGGATGATATTTTAAGTAGAATGCAGGATGGACGCCTGTTGGGGTCAAACTTTACATAAAAACTGTTTTTCTTTAAAAAGAAATCTGCCTACTGTCTTAAAGAAAATTCAAAAGAGTATTAATGCTCAAAGTTATTTATTCCTCTCAATTGGATATATTTAGGACTTTTCCCTATTGTTTATTCAGTCGCTTATCTTTTGTCTAACCTGCAGAATGAAAGTGACACTTTTAAAGTTCAACTCTGGTAATACAAAGTTTACACAACCTTGCTCTGCCAGCACATCTCACTTCACGTTATCTCTCTGCCTTGTTTCTTTTTGAATGCTGTTTATTTGATGTTTTTAATCCCTCTGTTATCTCAATGAAATCTAGATTGCAATAACTTTATCCAAAGTAAAAGTAATTGAAGTCAGCTCACTTTTCCCAATGGGAACAGTTTGAATTGTCTGACTCCTAGACTCCTCTTTTCCAATCCGATACATCTCATTCCAGATGTCTTTCTCTAATAACCCTGATAGATATTCTCAGTACACAGCTCTGCTCTGTTTTTCACTGTCTTCCTCAATATCTGCCCTCATCATGGTGTGTGATTTCGCGAACACAGGAATGGTATAACCAAACTACTATCTACATTTTTATTGTCCTGCGGTATATAGCACCAAGTTTATTTATATCGTGCATTATCCAAAACCCAATTCAAAGGCACAATGAATAGGACTTGTCAGTTGTAGTTTGTAAACACAACTCCAATTTGGCCCATCTTTCGAAAGGGTTAGGGTCAGTGTCCATGAGAGTTGACCCTTAAAAAGGTTACATTTCATTTTGGGACAAGCTTTGTTCTCTCAACGTTTTTCATTCTGAATCATGGATGTTTAAAGATAACTGGAAACAGCGTTAGAGGCTGGGCCCCATTCATTCCTATGTCATTTGCTAAGTGGTACACAAAGACAAAATGGCCGACTTTCAAGTATGAAAATACCTGGATCTTCAGGTAATTAAGATTACTACCATTGGGCCTATAGAGAGGCGAAGTCCCGCCCTTCTACTTCCGCCCCATGGGAAAAATTATGCATTGAAGTCAATGGGGAGAGAAAGATTATCTTTCGATCCCGTTTGAATTGTGCCACGAATTACACATATGATGTTTGTCAATCTTAATTAATAATTTCCATGTCAAAAAAGTCACAGTTTGTCGTAAAACTGTTGAAATATAAGACTATGAAAAATACGCAAGAAAGACTACAAATCCCAGAATCCCGGTCCCGCATGCTGGCTCTTACGGAACCGACTAACTCCCCTTGTGTGTATGTACAGCTCTCAACATGCCCAGACTTGTAGTGATTTTCACCTCTTTTAATACTTTTCGCCTCATTCTGAAAGAAAGAAGTGAAATGTGCCAACGTGACGGCCGTCTTGGTGTGTGGTGCGAGACGTGAGATGTAGTTCATTGAGCGTTTCACACAAAAAAAAGTGTTACTTCACAGTTTTACGACACATTTTTTTTTTTTTGACTTGTAAAATTATCTTTTAAATTGACAAACATCATATGTGTAATTCGTGGCACAATTCAAACGGGATCGAAAGATAATCTTTCTCTCTCCATTGACTTCAATGCATAACTTTTCCGAAATAAGGTCCCATGGAGCTCAACCGGAAAGGGAGGGACTTCGCCTCTCTATAGAGTCGTTGTGTTTCCCATAAACCCCGCCCCAAAACTGCTGCGTCTCAACCGGTAATTTAAAAAAGTTATCCAATTATTCATACTGTAAAGTTGGTTTAAGCGATAAATATATATACAACGACCTCTTTTTCCCAATTTAGTCAGTGGGTAAAAGGTTTTTGTGGAACAATCAACTGGATTTGTCTATTAGTATCATGTCATGGCCTAATAATTGAATAAGGTTTATCCAAGTGTTCACACTGGAAAGTTGAGTTAGCTTTAATTCTTTGGCCCCATCACATGACTGACACAAGTCTGCTTGGTTGTTTCTCTGAGGTTGGGCACACAATTAAAAACCCCAAATGTTGTACAAGAACACAAAGCTCTTCATAAATCTAACCCTAACCACCTAAGCATTATGCTCTCAACGTGTACCAGAATGATGCTTTAAAATAATGTACCGTGACACTGCTAGGGTCCAAAGTCCAACCACCATACTCTCACAAAATCCTGTGGGAAACACTGGGAGGGGTAGCTTTTGACTCTTATCATAAAACAAATTTCTAGATCCATCACTGTCTGCCTTGTTCAATCTTCATATTGTTTTTTTTCATTTTTCATGTGCTTCTAACCTCAGGCATCTCGGAGAGCCATTAACCAATCCCTGTTCTCTTAGACAGATGAAACATGGCCGGGGCCATCGATATTGTATGATTCATGCCTGTGGCTTAAGGTTCTAATATTTCTACCAACCCCTCTGTCTGGCAAAGCCACACTCACTATTTATCACCCCTATGCCTGATGCTGCTGTGATAGGTGCTATACTGCAAAATATTATTTTTAGAAGCGTGTGTGTGTGCGTGCGTGCGTCCATCCATCCGTTCGTCCTTGAGCAGGTTCCTAAAGCACTGAAGTCAAATGAAAGCAGGCACCATTTCGTCTGCTATGAGTAAACATGTGAATGAGTCATAGCTTGTCATTGTTAGAATCCTGACAAATTATACATTGCTTTTTCAGGACTAAGTGTTTTGTACCACAGGCATTTTATTATCTTTTCAATTTAAGTAACATTATCGACACAGGAACCAGAACAAGAAAGTGAATAGATTTCCATTCAAACCATCCAACATGTTTCAGAATGATTGATGAAGTCTAATATGATTAGTGGACTCTCATTCATAAGGAAACAATTGGTAAAAAAAAAAAGGCACGTATTTTCTTTATGATGAAATACAGCAAGATAGGCAGCACTCTGAGGAGACTTTTTCTGTGAGATAAAACACTTCCCAATGCCTTTGCTTTTTTTCACTTCTTTATGATTTAAGTTTTTATTTTTATTAAGCTAATAGTAAAGAATGGGCATTTCTACCAGCTCTTCTGTTATGAAGTCCAAGCTTATTCTGCTCTGAATGGTTAGCTGGCCGTCTCTGTTATAATCGGTCAACCACTAAGAGATGTCCCTCCCCTTAGCCTATCATGTGTCAGAGCGCTAGCCAATAGAACCGCAAGTGTTACATAGTGATGTCCCTATGTTATGGAAGTAAACAAAGGAGTCCAATGGAGGCGTTTCAGGCAGGTGGAAGTGCTTGGGAGAGAAACTCCCTCTGGAGGAAATGTTGGGATTGTAGCCTTTGCAGACCATTTACATGCAAAGAAACGTATACAACTCACTACAGGAGAGGGGAAACCCCAAAAATCACAATAGGGCCTCTTTAATGTTTGATTATGTAAGTATCTTAAGTACCGTAATTGAAAATCAGAGATTGTATCAGAGATACTTTAAATTGAAAGATGATATTTTAGGACAAATAAACAGTGCAAAATATATGTGACACCAGTCGGGAAACCCATAGAGTTCATAAATGAGATGCTGCGAATGTCCTCATTTTGACTAATCTATATGAATGCAAAAGTTCTAACAAGAAGTTTTAAGTCTTTGAGTACATGACAGCAAAATCAACTAATCCTTTTTAATGCTCCCTCTAAGTCTACTTTGCCAGTTGTTGATACAGATGTCCCCTGTCTGATTCCAGAGGCAGGCTTCGAGCAGTTCCGCGTGGCTGAAAAGGCTCATGGGAGCTGGATGAAGCTCTTCCTGGAGGGCAACACCTCTGAGGTGCTCAGCAACATGGGCAAAAAGGTCCTGAAGCAGTATGTGGAGGCCCTGGCTGCCATGAGCTCGGCTCTCAGCAAACAGCTGGGCAAGTACGACATGTACTCCATGATCGCAGGCATGGTGTTTGTGTTCCAGGTGAGTGCAGCACAATTTAATATATCCTTAGGACTGATCTGAGGAAATGTCTAGAAGGAAATGTTCCTAGCAGTGTAGTTTTCATAAAAAAGCTAGAAGAAAAAGCTTTGGTAAGATTGATTGACCATCTTTCTCGTTTATATTATTTTCTGGGAGCTTTACCACTGCGTCATGGAGTTTGGATAGTTTAGGGCTGCACCTAACTATTATATTTTATTATCAATTCATCTGCAGATACATTTTTTACATTCCTTGATTTATTGGGCGATGGGTGGCGAAGTCCATAGGGACTTGGCTTGGCAACGGGAAGGTCACCAGTTCAAGTCCCGGAAAGACCAAGTGTTACCGAGGTGTCCCTGAGCAAGGCACCGTTCCCTACACTGCTCCTAACACTAGGATGGGTCAAATGCAGAGAAACCTTTTCGTTACATAGTACCTGTGCTACGTAATGACAATAAGTTGAATCTTCTTCTTCTTATTATTGTTTGATCCATAAAATATCAGAAAAGTGTGAAAATGTCCTTCACAAATATCTTCTAGTCCAAGGTGATGTATTTTAATGTCTTATTTTGTCGGATTTGTCTGATCTGATGAAGATATTCAGTATAACAGGATATAAAACAGATAACATGACACATAACATTTTCTGACATGTTTGCATGAAAAAGTACCGAACCACTGAGGGTATTATATTCCTGTGGAATGACTGATCGATCAGTCAAATAATCAGAGCATTTTCCTGAAAATGTAATTGTAATTTGGCATAAAAGCCAGCGACATTATTGTTGATACACAAAGATATCTACTTGCCGTGTAACTTTCAAATGATTAAAACTCACTGGCATTTAAGATGTTCATTATTGAGAACGGGTGCCGACTGACTGCTAAACAATTTTCGTCCATTTCTGATTCAGCAAAGTCAGAAGGACAGTTAAGTCAGGAAAATGTCAACACTGACAGGTTTCATTCCATTTTTATCATGCTACGTTTAGCGCAGATTTGCATCTATTGGCGTCTTTGGATGTAATTGCACTGCATGAAAAATACAACAATTTGAACATATAGGACAGTAGTAGCTCAGTCTGTATGGCCTTGGCTTGGAGAATGGAGAGTTCAAATCCCAAATGGATCCAGTACAGCGTGTGTACTGGTACTTTGAGGGGTGTCCTTGAGCAAAAAGCCAAACCCCCACAATGCTCCCAAACGCTTTCATCATAATATTACAAACCCCTTGCCTAACTTGAAACATGTACTGACGCACTCTATTATACTTAATGAGTGTCCAGATTAGATAGCAGTGCTGTCATCTACCAAAATAAAGAAAATGTCTGTTTATGGGTTTCTGTGGTTGTATAAGTTGAACCAATAGTGATCACAGTTCCTCTTCTCTCCCGGCCATGAAGCTCCTGCTGGTCTTACTGCTGGCTATGCCCGAGGCTCTGAGCGGTGACGCAGCGGTGGAACTTCCTGTTCTCTCAGCTCTGCTCTCGCTGCCTTTCTACCTCATGTGCCTGCTGCTCGCCTCGGTGCACGTCTTGGTGTGCACATCTGCTGAGAGCTCCTGTTACTTCTGCAGCCTCTCCTGGGGACTCGTGTTCGCCGCCGTCGCCTTCTCTTCAGCAATGTTTTGTATTCTGGTCTCTCTGGTAACGCGGAGACTCCCCCTAGGGGCGAGGATTCACGGGAAGGTGAGTTTTTGATAAATATAACAACAACAAAACACAGGTACAGATTGGAACAGATGTTTGCCCTCAAAGGTGCAAACATGCACGTGTAAAACCTCAATATAACTAGTTAAAGAGTTCAGCTGGTCTGTGATTGCTTCATAACAAAGATTATAACTTGCTGCTGTTTGAAAGATACAACATTTATACATTTCATTTATCTATTCCCGCGGGTAGAGAAACACAATCATTTATTTGAGCGAACATTACTAAATCCACTGAGGCTCAGGGGCGATAGCACGCTCTTTTGTGATTTAGCTGAGTTAGCAAAGTGTTTTCTAAAGCAGCCTTAAATCCCTTGAATATGTTGTGGAACAAAGTCCTGATAAAAAAAGAAAGGTTTTGCTAGATTTTCTTGGATCTGTGACAAGTGAAAAATCACTCCACGATAAGGGGCTGAAAAGAAGTGTTTCAGCGAGTGCTCCTTAGTCCATTTGAGACCTTGGCCACCATTCATTTTAATCAAATAGTGCTTGGCTGTATGCACAGCTTATCATGCGTCTTCATGAATGATTGCAAAGAGCCCCTTAATTACTCCTTTTCACTCCGGTATTGCACAGGAAAATGGTTTGGCATTTAAGTGAGGAGTAGCTTTTAATTTTTACATTTTTAATGCAGTAATGTAACTTTAAATAAATAGCATTAAAATAATATTGTCTTAGGGCTTGAGTCCACAGAGATATTCTGGCAGGGCACTGGGCAGAGCCACTGGGCAGAGCCACCTCGCAGCCATTTGTCAACAACAAATGCTCCCAGCACATCCAACTGAGTATGACTGTGCTCACACTTTGTATGAATGAGTTTCACCACTCACAGCCGTCTGACAGCCGTCTGACAGACTAGCAATACACGCTTGCCTTTTATTATCTGTTTGTGCTACCATATATTTGTTTGACAAAGGTTTTTTTTACCATTACAACCAACTGATGAGGCCTGCTCTCACATTTAAGTATGAACGTGTTTCACCATTGACAGCCATCTGACAGCCGTCTGACAGCCGTAGAGCACGGAGGATGAACCGTGTAAGGCAGTAAAAGTAAAATATTGATGACCAGCAACATTTAGGGTCCGCTGGCCAATCTGCTCCGACAAATGGACTTTTGGGTCATTTGTTTTGATAGTTGGAAAGAAACATTCAAAATAAAGCGCTATGCGGACACAGGCCCTTATGTTGACACTCAAAAACATTCAAAACAGTGAATGTGAGAGTTATAGAGAATGAACAATAGGGTGGTCCTTAAAATTGAAAGTCGGAAAGTCTAAGCTCCAACCCCCAGAATTCATTCTATTAGTCAAGAAAACTCTCCTTCCTCAATCTGACAACATTTACCCCTCCCTCATCGACCTTGAAGTTTAGCCTCAGTTGCAGCACCGTGGCTGCTGGTGTGGCAGCCCAGGTTAAACTTCAAGGTCGATGAGGGAGGGGTAAATGTTGTTGGAATTTGAAAAAAATTCACCAGGAGAGTTTTCTTGACTATAACGAATTCCGGAGGTTGGAGCTTAAAATAAATGAATTTGAAAATGTACATGGCACTAAGGACCACCCTAATGAACAATGTTTCTAAAACTCCAGAGTTGGACTGCTCATTCCCACAGAACAACAATGAGATGATTCTGTAACTGATGCTGTTACAGTCTGTTCTGCTGCAGGTTCACTCTGTGTCCCAGAAGTCACAGGCTCCCATAGTTTTTAAAATACATTCAAACCAGCTCACATTTCCTGAAACACACTGCCGCATTGATGAGCATAATCCATCATCTTAAACAGCTTGTTTTTTTGCAGGACTTTATAACCTCTGCAATCATTACACTCCATATCAAAAAGGTTCCAGTCTAGGGGGATTGAATCTGTCCGGATCATTGTTTGTCCACAGCTGGATGTACCCGCCGCTCTCCATTAGAAAAGTTTAGTTTTACCTTTTAGTTTCCAAAGAGAGGCAAAACTGCAGCAAGTCCTCTTCGACTTTTCTTTTAAGATAAATTCAGATGTTGCCAGTCTTACATCTTACTGGACATCTTTCAGTGTTGTGAGGAAATTCCTGGAGCAAAAATCCAGAACACAAGAAATACACAGGAGAACTTTGAACTGCTGTCAGACTCTTACAATTGATGGAAGTTACGCCCCGGATAATTGACGAAAACATTTGCTGATGCATCGTAGTGACACAGCCTCTGCCCAAACCAACCCTCAGGTTCTGTGACGTTCAGATTGACTATCTGACTTAGCATATTTAGTCCTATGATTATCTGATGGAGAGAGTGTTTACAATCTTGCTGAATGCGTATTCAGGAGAAAGTAGGGGGTCATCTCTTAACACAGCTGATGAGAAGAGCCGGAGCCAACAGTGGCTATAGCTAATCTTCATGCTACAGCCCCCCCAAGACCCAGTAACTGCTGTCTGGACTGGCAGAGAAACATAAACTGAGGACAGAAGTGGAGAATTCAAAGAAGGAGACTAGCTTAATAATTTTCAATCCCTTTCAATTCAGTTAAATGCTTATAAAATACAGCTTGAGTTCCTATTTAGGGAGAAAAAAGTTTAAAAATGAAAGGCAAAAATTAGCTAAAGTCATGTAGGGTCTTGTGAAATTATAAAATCACTTATATCAGTGCAAAACCATCTATGGCTTGAAAATGACTGTTGCATTAGACAGCATTAGCTTTAGCTAGGTGTGCCCATTAAAGTGGCAGCTGAGTGTTTAGGTATTATTTGGCTGAGCTGTGTCACTTCCCACTAGCTCTCCATAAACATTTATTGCATTGAAATAATAAACTGATGCATTTTTTTCAATCTTTTGTAAGAGATTCATTACAAACCTCAAAACCTTGACTCACCACCACTGCAACCTTTATGCTCGTGTGGGATGGTCTTCCCTGACCACGCGTAGACTGAAACACTGGCACAAATACAAATAAAAAAACCTATTAGCTCTAATTTTTATAATCATTACGTTTTATCAGTTTCTGTTAAAATGATGCAAACAATATTTTGACTAAATAAGTAATGATAAAATAATTTATTTACGCAAGCTTTATCTTTTTAATTAAATGACACAGAATTATGATCAATATTATGTGAACACATTGTTAAAATTAAACAAACTCAGCTTTTATATTACAAATATAGGCTATATTATGATGAATTCCAGTACACACGAACGCGCACATGACCAATGAGGGCACGAGATAAGTGTGTGCACAGATGGAAGGCTGACAGGCAGGTAGGCCATCCAGTTATTTTAGCCGGGCCGGCTAAAATGATTGGTCGTGCTTTTTACAGTATTACGGCTTCCACAGATGACATTTTTTAATGGATTTTTTGTCAAAGCACTTAAGATATTCATTGCTATCGGGATGTTAAGAGCATTCCATGGAATATAACAAAAAGTGTATCTCGAGCCGGTTTCTCAAACTTACCTACCCCACCTTTAAAGTATGACATGTTGAAATTCACCCTCAAGAAATAAAAGTAATTGCATGCGATGTTGAGATCGCTCCTCTAAATGTGGGCAATATCATATAAGCGTATCAGATATAATGGGACTCAGAAGGTGGAATCTTTCCGTCTTTAGTGTTTGTTTAAATTGGCCTAAAATATGAGTCCTCTTACTGCTGCACCTCTTTGCTCATTATAATTTATCTGTAAAGGTTATATCTCATTTCCCTTCTGAGAAGTTTGCAAAGTGCTGATAGGGTAAAAAAAGAAAATTCAGGAGGAATCCACATTAAGGTTGGGTGAAGGAATAAACTCCTAAATCTATACTCGGGAGCATGTGGAGGAAATATACTGTGGCTCGGGCTTTCTTGAAAAAGACTGTCGAATATTTTTCTTTCAGTTTGAATGTCACACAAATGTCAGAATAATTTGCACATAGCTCAGCTGGCGGGTAATGACTGAGCTTAGTAAAGTGTGCTTCATCATCCAGCAGGGGATTCTTGAGAAATCACCACACTTTTGCTGGAAAGGTAAAAGACAAAAAGTTGCAGTATACAAAAAATACCTTTTGTATCTGTAGATTACACTATGCCAACAAAATGTAAGGGAAAACACAATGTAATGATTTACAGCAGGGGTGTCAAACTCAAATACACAGTGGGCCAAAATAAAAAAATGGGTACTAGTCGAGGGCCGGACTGGTTCAATGTTTATTGCAAAACGTATTGAAATGAACTTATTGCACATATTAAACCTGGGACTAAAAAGCTTAAATGATTGCCTATAAAAACAACATTAAACATTAAATAATCAGTTGCATTAATTTCTTATGGCTCTATCTGCAGCTTTTCCGGAGTCATTTCTTATGATTACATTTTCCCACAGGCCAACAACAGCTTCAGAAAAACTATTTCCCTCGAAGAAGAAACCAAACATGCCCTGTTGACGCAAGAGAAAAAGTGCAGAAGGAAACATCCATCTAAACTCAGTGTGTGCTGCTCTGTGATGCTAGTTCAAGCCAGATACTTGGCATCTCATCTTGGGTGCAAGCTCATCAATGTTTGGGCTCAGGCTCTGAGCTGAGGAAACCCTCAGGATTGAGTGAAGGTGTGCGTGCAATATACCGGCGGGCCAGATCTAATAGTAATTAGAAATTATCCTGCGGGCCAAAATTAAATCCACCAAGGGCCTGATTTGGCCCCCGGGCCTTGAGTTTGACACATGTGATTTACATGATCCTTTCTCATGGTCAATTCCTCAGATTTATTCCCTAAAATGTCTGTCACCATATTAGGACAAATTAAAGGGGCCCTAGTATGCTTTTTGGGGTATTCCCTGTCCTGTATTGTGTGATATAGGTTTTCTTTGCAGGTTAATGGTTAGCAAAGGTTAACATCCCAGGAGGATTCATGACTGACAAACTAATTTAGATATGAAGATTATGAAATGCATCTGGTTAACACTATATTGGTCTTGGTAATGAATTTAAAGGGAGTCCTCTTTGAATTTCTTTTGAGATCAATTCAGATGTTGGCGATTTTGCATTTGTTTTTACAGTTTCCAACGACCTTTAACTCAAATTAATACTTGGAAGGAAAAAAATGTGCAACAAAGTTCCGAAATGAAATAAGTGAAAGAGACATTTTTTTTATTCAAAGTCGGGTCTTATTACAAAATCACTTATAAAGTTCAGATCAAAGTGCAAAACTGACCTTGCTTTGGCTTGACAAATGACTGCATTAAGGGCGGCATCTAAACTTTTTATTAGAGGTTTCCTGATTAGTTTCTCCGCTACAGGAAGATTAAGCACACTTACTAACTCACCACTTCAACGGAAATGTGATTAGAATTCCAGCCGAATTAAGTTTAATAACCTTAAGGTGAGTGCACTTCATTTAAGATGTGGTGTCTATAAAGAAGGTGACTAAAGGGTGGATATCAACCTTTTGAAAATATATTAATTGAGTATTTCGCAACGTTTGTAAGAGTCTATAATACAAATACAAAAGCGCTCTTTTTTTACTTGGTGAAAATAACTTTTTAGATAGAGAAAGCTTGAGAGTCCTTTCACAGAAGGCTGAGTCCAAAATGGATCACAACTGCATGAAGGAGAGTCGTGTTCAGTGGCTTGCCAGTAGTATATGATAAATCATACACACATATTGGACCCAAGAATGGTTTTAGTATTTCCAAAGGTATGGTGACTTATTTTTGAGTTCCATACTACTTTGTGCCTGAAGTCATAGAAATATGAATAGTGGCTGGCATGGATGCCAAGATGAAACCAGAAATCCTCCAGCAATATGAAGGCAAAATATTACATTTTTGACAAAAATGTCATCATCCCTTCAAAACGATGATGACGTTTTGTGCTTTGTCATGGTGCAGAGGAGGACTGGACAGGGTAAAGGAGTAAAAACCTTTATCCATCTCGGCACATTAGGGTTCAGTTCAGGTTGTAAATTATGGATGTTATGCGCCGGACTATGTCTTGGTCAGGGCCGTAGAGATTGGGACCAGTAAATTCCTGTAGCCTCACTGGATTGGAACACTTCACAGACCGGAAACCAAATTGTTCATACAGAGAAAATGTCAAAAATGTGGTCGAAGTTAAGTAGTGTTTTTATTTAAATTGATGTTATGTCAAAGCAAAAACTTAAATTAGGTTTAATTGGTTCAAGTTGTTTTGGTCAAAGCTGCGGTTTGGATGGTGGCAGAGATTTCTTTGATAAGCTTTTAACTTGCTTGAAATGAATGCATGAATACACTTTTTGAGACAATCTCTTTGACTAGTGTTAACATTTAGACAATAAAATGCAGACATTTTAACCTATTTAACATTAATGCTAATTTTAGATCAAAGACAACCCCTAAGAACTTTAATTTGATTATTATCAGCACAAGTATGGTATTTAATGTTATTGTTTTGAAAAATCATGTCTTATCAGTAGCATTTTTAGAGGAAAAGGGTGCCGAGCAGGGTTTCCTGTGGTACTCCACAGGTCATTCTGACTTGCTTGGAAGTTAGAATGACCTGTGGAAATAACGTATTTATTTATTTAAAGTTAGACCTGAACCAGTCAGGACAGTACACGCAAGCCTAACCCAGTTCACAACAATAGGCAACTGTGTCAAAAAGGCAGTAAAATGGATTAATACCAATCATTTGTGATATATTGATAGGGATTGCAAAATGCAAGTCGTAAACGAACTGTGGGGGAAACTTCTGAAGCAATTGGAGACAGGACTCAGAGAGACACGAGGAGAGCTGGAGCTTTGATGGCAAACACTGACGGTTTATTTGGAGCTTCGGCCGGAGAATTCACAAGACATGTCACGGGCCACGATCTGACCACACGGTTGAGATGCCAAACCAATTCTAAAGAACTCTTCTGTAGTTCGAGGTTTTAACTAGTTCAGAGTGTAATAATCAATATTCTTTATCAGCGAGATTAAACAAATATGGACCCTGAATTTAACTGGAGCTGTCGTCCATAGAAAATAATGTGCGCCAGGGAACCTACGCTCCAGAAAAGAAGATGTCCCTGAACAATAAACTATCTCATGTCAGCTTGTGCTCGGTCATAAGCTGGCAACAACAACGCGCCCAAGCTGCCCCTCCTTAAGAGAGATAGCAGCAATACCCAAGGCCGTAGACCTATGCCATGGGGAAAGAGACAGTGAGAAGAGAAAACTATGAACTGTGTCAAAGGTTGAATACCTAAGCAAATGATTCCCTAACACTAACCTGCATACATTGTATATCATTAGAGTAATAATACTTTAGTGATAGTGATGCTGCTGACTTTTTACAAATGCTTCAATTAAGTATGTCTTCGATTCACTTTGAAATCAAATGCCACGAACACAAATCATAATGCAGAATACTTGCTCAGTGAAGAGGGTCATGGGGATTTTTGCTTTAGAGATTTAACAATTTGCAATATTCTGTAGAACAGAGACTCGAAAAGGGAGCAGTGGAGCTGGAAAAACATATTACAGATCCCTTTGGGCTGTGACATTTTGTATCTAAAATGAACAAAGAAGTTGTAGGCATACAGGGCATCAATCCTCCTCTCAGTAATGTAAAGGGAATTCAGATTTTGAAAAATGAACGGGCAGAGCCTGCTTAGATTATTCATGAAATATGTGTGGGATAAAGATAAAGAAGTGTGATAATGTAGTTGTATACAGGTTATTTAATCTAGGACATGTTAAAAAGAACTTTAATACATGGATAGTTATCGAACACATTTCATAAAGAACAGCCTATTCTCATAAGGTATGAATATGTATGCAACCTACAAGCTGTGGACTCTACATTTGCAACAGTTGAGTGATGTTGTTTTTCTTTTTTGAAACACAAATAACAGAACTCAATATTTAATGTTGTGTAAAGAAAACCGACACATGTTGAATCCCACAGTGACCAGGTGCTGAAGCCTGCAGATAGTGTAAGTGCAATCTCAGCCTCTCAGTGTCATAGAGGTGATCTCTTAAGATACATGTCTGTATTCGTTTGTTTGGCTATAAGACTGGTGCTGAACTTCACTTGAACTTTCTTTGTATGCCGTCACCGAACCAAATGATTTGCATACAAGTACACGATTGGCCAAACACCAATTTTTTTAAATGGGATTAAAATATACATTAGTGATGACCACAATTCATGAATGACAGCTCACGGTCACTCTCTGCTGCGCTCTGGCCAAAGAAAAGTCCTCTATGAGACACATGCCGTAAAATGACATGACTCACTGAATCTTGTGTATTCGTAAAAAAACTAAAAAAACCTGAAGAATGTTTCTTGTGAGAAATATGCAGTATGCATCAATAGACACATTTGATTTGAGTTTGAGTATGTTGGTAAGATAATTAGGCAGGTGTACAGTAATTGGTCGAAAACAAGTGTCACTAGATGAGTTTTTTTCAATTTGGCATGAATCACCAAAGCAGTAGTTTGATCTAAATGATTATCCCACTGAGTGGAACATTATAACTTTAACTGGGGGTTACAAATAGGTGTAGCGTCTAGTCAGAATGTTATGGTTATTGTCCTTGAATTTGTTGCACTATTTGTAGTTGGTATCAAGGTAAAATGGTCGTTAAAATGTCAAACTAAAATAAAAAGTAACTCATATAATTGGGCCACAGAGATGCTCTGCATAAAAAAAAAAAAGCCTTCCTCAGACCTTCTATGAAAATAAATAATACTTCTGCAACAATTATCATTCCTTCCAGTACACTGAATCATATCGTTATTGCAAGATCAGCCAAAATACCTTCTCGCCCTAATCTCTACCAAAATTATATTGGTCTCTAGCTCCAACATCTATCGGGACATCTGTTCTTTTGATTTATGAGACACTTAGCAGATGAACAGATAAGATGAATACAATGCCTCTTTAGACAGAAGCAACATATTAATGTTGACGGCTCTGTACTCTAACCACAAAACACATTGTTTTTGCTCTAACAGCACTTTTGTTTTCTTCAACAGTCTCCATTGAGGAGCATTGGCAGTGAGTGGTCGCTGTCGGAGCTGGACGTGTTGCTGCTGGCCGGCACGGTGGGACACACTCTCAGCCTGGCAGCCAGCAGCTTCGTGGAGGAAGAGCACCAAACCTGGTACTTCCTGCTCAACACCCTCTGCCTCGCCGTCTTCCAGGACGTCTGCCGCAAGTACTTCAGAGAGCAGAGGGGCACTGGAGACGAAGAAGAGTCTATCCTCCCTTCCAAAGACTGTCACCCCTCTCCTAAGGCAGAGATTTACTCAGAGAAGTGGCTAGCGTTAGCCACACCGCCATTCACTCTGCTCTGCTGCCGACTGCTGCGCTCCCTCAACCAGACCGGGGTGCAGTGGGCTCATCTTCCTGACATGGGACACTGGCTCAACAGGTAGGGTTTACTGTTCCTCTTCAATTAATCATTCAAAAAGAGATTAAAACATGACAGTCATTTTATTTCTGAGGTTTCTCCCATGTTCCCCTTTAAACTGTGGGTTTTTTCTCCGGAAGTTTTTCCTTGTACGATGTGAGGGTCTAAGGACAGAGGGTGTCGTTTTCTCATACTGATATTCTGCACAAACTGTGCTGTTGTATTTGCTGTAAAGTGTCTTTACTGTAGGGTATTTTTATTATTTGTACAGCACTTTGGCTCGACCAAAAATCGTTTAAAAATGTGCTATATAAATAAACCTTCATTTGATTTGATTTGATTTGATTTGATTTGATTTTTTTTAGCCAGTGACTCCTCATGTCTGGTCATGATAGTGGTGTTTTTAACAATCCCCACTCCTTGCGTCAGCCAATACTTTAGCCTCTTAGCAAATGCTTTATTCACACAGGTAGTCTCACTGACATCAACACCTCTTTTTGAAAAGGAAGCTGTGCAAAAGAAATCAAATACAGTATGGCCATGAGTCATGAGTCATGACAATTCACAACAAACACCATTGGTTACAAATTAAAGTCAAGATGAAATCTATTTTAAAAGGACATTCCAATTCCTTTAGAACAGAAAAGTCTTCTTCATTTCACTGAAGACTACGTCACAGAACAGAAGCATAAGACAATCATGACAGTATAATATAAAATATTTAAGTATAAAGAGATTTTTGTATTAGAAATCTATTTCTATTTGTGAGGAGAAGTGATTCAATCCAGTTTTCCAAGTGTTGTTTGAATATATGGTATGGAAAAGTTAAAATGTGTTAAAAATGGATTGAATCAGAGAGCATCGATGAGGTTCTGTTAGCTAGGCTTATTGAACCAAACTAGTTTAACAGTGCTACACAGCTGGCAAGTTAAGTTGGCTTGTAAAAGTTGGATGTTTTCATGAGGCAGCAAAGCAGAAAGAATAGTGTTAACAGCAGCAGCTACCTGGCTGATTTTGAATTACTCTTGGCAGCTATGTGATTACTGAGAGGATCCCCAGGGAAAAGACACACTCTATGAATAGCAAAAAGATCGAGTGGTTTGTTTCTCTATTTCTCTTTAGTACCTTTAAAGTAATGGAGTTCCCTTTAAACAACACAAAAGAGCTGGATTTACAGAGTGATTATATTAGTGTTCAGACGCTTATCTTGAAGTATATTGGACATAAAACCCATAAGACAAGGCAGAATTATTAGCCTTTTTCATGCGGATAGGTGGGAACATATAGGTGACCGAAAAATATAAGAAGTACTTTTCAACACAGCTACAGAGAATTCAAGATAATAGGCTTCTTTGACTATTTTAAGTACGACCATTCAGCAGTCTCACAGACATAAATTCATTGTAAGAAAAAGCGACCAATTTGTCCAAAGACAAAGAAGCCTCAGTAGACTGGAACACAGTCAGGTGACAATCCTTTTTGTCTTTCCACCTACACAAGTTCACTCCTGTTCTCTGGTGAGAATTGAAGGCCATTATGGGAAATATAGGAAATACTTCATGGGGCTGGTTGAGTGAAATATTCTAGGAAATGACACTTGACTGCAAAATAAGTCCCTGAACAATGTAGTGATCATTCAGTGACATTTAGAAAGGTGTAAGGTGTTCACGTTATACAAGTCTTTGCTCCTGACACTGAAACATTTTAAAGGGTGTTTTTCTGGCCGAGAAGCTGACAGGACCCTCCACTTAGCATTTCTTTTAGAAAATTCAAGGAGGGAAAATAGCTTTCTGTGATTGCTTGGTCTGTTGAAAAACGGGGTGATTTCTCAGTGAAACCGACTGTTTCAGAGCCATTAATATTCCGTCAACAGAATGGGCCAGGGGATTATGGTTTGTTCTTCAACATGCATCACATTGTGGAATAGAGATGTGGATTCTGACCTTTTCCCTGTCCAGCGTTGCCCTTTCTTGCTACCTGCACTGCCTGTTGCTCGGATAATGAGATCTAGGTAGTGTTACGCCTCATCTTGTCTCAAAAGTACCCGACTTCCACCGCTGTCTGATCCACAGAACGTCCAAATACACAGCTTCTTTTCAACTCTGAAATATGCCCTTTGAGGTCTTATTACCTGTGTGTGCTCAGTGGAAGTGTCATTTCATACTACTGTATTGCCTGAAATCCAGTGAACAATTGGAGTTCTGTGCCTCTTTAAAGTTTAAACTACTGCTTGAGGATATGACTGGCTGGGTTTCATCTCACCAAAATGTTCTCAGTTGCTCAAAGTCTACGGTGCTTCAAGTGTTGCTCTTTCTTCTTTGATTGATCAAATAACCTGATGAATTTTTGCTTATTTGATTTTGGTGTCAAAATAGATACAAAATGAACTGTTTGTGTTGTAAAGCAACAGCATGTTTCATTTTCCTCCGATGTTGTGATCTTCTTTAACACATTACTGTTGTAACTGCGGACAGCTGTAACGTTATACGTGCAATTTTCCAAGCAAATTCCTTAGCTAGCACAGCTAAACATGAAGCAAGTGCAAAAACACAAGATATAGCAAACCAGCTAATCTTCTTAATAGTGCAACAGCAAAAAGGCCTTCCCTGCATCTGTCTTGCAGCTTTTTAATTTGTGAAGCTCTCACTTGCTCCTTGCCAGCGTTCCCCATTGCCCAAGGCCTGGAAATCTTCTCCTCCCAGCATTCAAAGCTTGTGTGCTAGCTGTGTAAACACCTACTTTCCCCAGGTGATCAAAGAAAGCAGTCCTGGCAGCAGGGCAAACTGAGATAGCAGCAGTTAGCAGTTAGCGCTACTTTAGCAACAAGAACACTTTTCTGTCTATCAGGAAACTGTAAATGTTTGAGAACCAAGGCAGAGCAATAGGAGAGTATCAGAGGGATAGTTAGAAAACATCACCTGAATGACATAGAAGTTACAAAAAGGTGTCGAGAAGGGTTATTCAGACCTTTTTTAAATGTAAACGTTTTTGATGCTTTTGCACATTAAAGTTTAAGCGCCACACTCCGTTATAGTATGCATGTTTTTTAGGTTTTTGCGCATGTAAATTGTCCGCCTGACACACATTCATTTTAGCCTGTGTTTACTTCCGCGACATAGTGACATCACTATGTAAAAAATGCGCTTCTATTGGCTAGCACTGCAATACATTACGTGATAGTCTAAGGGGCGCAACATCTCTAAGTGGTTGACCAATCACAACAGAGCCAGCCAGCTAACCAATCAGAGCAGACTGGGCTCTGGTTTCAGACGGAGGGTGAAAAGAGGTCCTGCAGCACATATGAGAAAAATAAAAAGCTTGTTGAACATTAAAGCATGGAGACACTTGAGGCACAAAATACAAATATGAACCTGAACATTTGCAAAATAGTGCCCCCTTTAACAAAATATTATCATACCAGTTAGTCACTTTTGTTGTTTACTATTAACTAAATTAAGTGGATTAATTACAACTCGGATATTCGACAGGCTAATGCGCTACATACCGGTCATTTTTGCACATCACTTTTATTCAGGGCCTAAAGTGGGACTGACAGAGACACCAATGTTCTTGATACAAAGTAGCATCACAATTACTTAAAAGTTATTATTTTAGCGTTAAAAGGTCACATAATGGTGCTTTAAATGAACTCCATATCAGACTGCAGCCTTTTCTTCACCCTACACGTGTCTGCTTCTTTGTTATGTTTTCCAGCTCTGAACACCGGACCGTTCTCTCCCTGCTGGCTGCTTTCTGTTTGGTTTTTATCTACCTCCTGGTTCAAAGACGATGCTCATGGGTTTCCAAGGTTGCCCTCGCCCTCGGACTTTTGGGTGTCTACAGCTACCGAGCAGCTGTCGGCAACGTCTTGTTTCCCTGGCAACACTCTGGCCGAACTACATCCAAGTAAGTTTTTTTGTGAACCCCTATGATCGCGATTTCATTCACTGTAGCAGTCGTCAAATTGCTGTCCCCTGTTAGTGGGTTGATTTACAGAGCACGGTGAGCGTGGAGGCTGCAGTGCTGCAAGTGTCATTAGGGACGAACACCCGCATCTCTTAAACTGTGATGATTAACTGCTGGACAGCTTTTTATTTCCTGACATCTAACAGCAGTAAATCTCTCGGACCTAGTGTACCAGCAAGTCCTGAATATAAAATTCTGGCAGCGTATTAAATTAATTACACTAAAATGCGAGACGCACACTCTTTGACGGTTGATTTAAATTGACACTTGGTATCAGTGGTATACAAAGAATGGTACCTTTTTTTATTTGTCTCCTCCAGCACAAGTCTCACCCTCCCCTTCTGTCGTCTGTAAGTGATGAAAACAAAGTCACGTTCAGTCACAACACTGAGAACAAAGCCAGCTCATTAGAGCATAGATTGAGCAGAGATAGTGAAAAGGTAATACAAAATATTGAGCTTTGTAAATTTGCTTTTTATTTGGCTTGATAATGAGTTTGTGTTTAGTTCCCATGACAAAAATACAACACAATGCTTTGCTCTCCATTGTTCAGAAAGGTGTTAAAAGTCCAACTCTTTGGTTAATGACTATAAATACCTGCAAAACTAAAGGGTTTCCCATCAGCCTCAGCTGTTTTATTGTGGCATTAATGCATTGTAAACACAAAGTGCTTCCATCAAGATGAAGGTATTGAAGTCTTAATGCACGTCCTTTAGTTACTTATTCACCCTCAGTGACTGTCTTTTGTATCATTCTATAGTAACACTTTTCTGTTTTTTAATAATAATAATAAAACAACTTTATTTGTAAAGCGCATTTAATTCACTAAGTGCAGCTTACAAATTAAAATCGAGTGAAATTCAATTCAGGTCAATGTTGGAACCTTTTTGCACACATGCAGCATAAAAGCATAATATAACGATTCAAGGAACACAAGGATGTAAAAAAGGTACGATAATAAAAAAGTATAATAAAAATAAAAAGTGATCCAAAGGTTCACGACAGATAGCCCTCTCAGTAAAACAAAGGAAGACATAAGAAAAAACTAATAAATAGAATAAGATGTTAAGACACAATTAAATAAATAAGTACAAAAATGTAAACACCATTAAAAAGAGGGATGTCACTACAAAAAGCATTACAAAATTCTCTGCCTGTCAACACACTGAACTAGGATAGTAAACATGATGAATATATTATAGGTGAGACGGGGAAAAGTCATATTCAATTGAGCGATTCTTTGACAGATCTGGGTTAGAATTGAAGAATATCCCTTAGAAGACTGAACACATTTGTAATGATGGAAAATGCTTTAACATTTAGACATTAAACTACCTGCTGTACTGCTTGGTAATAAGGATGTTGCTTTTCTCAGCTTTTTGTGAGAAAATAAACCTGTTCATCTCAATTCCTATATTGCTCTTGAGTTCCTCCTGCTATCTTTTAAATATAAATGCTTAGAGGAGTTTGGATTTCTTCGAGCTGCTGCTGCTGCTGCTGCAACCCTTGTTGTGAACACCTGAGTGAAGGAACCTCCTCTCCCAGCCCCTCAAAATTCAATCAAACACACAAGTTTCATATAACAGTTAATGCGTAGCACAACCCTCCCCTTTTGTGCACCTGAGACAATCTGTTGCGTCCTTGAACTCACCGTGAATAATGCAAAATCATGTTTAACGTGGGCTTTGAAAAATGCATGATTATCCTTGAAGATTGATGCCTCTTCGCACTGCGTACCCAGAACCCTTTAGCGCAATCTATATGTAATAGCTCTTGTTAGCATTGTCCGAAAAGAGGGGAAATCGACAATCTTGCAGCTCCTAAGTGTGGTAATTTTTCATTCTGCAGACTGTAGCTTGGCACAGAGTTATCTCCCACTAACCCCCCGTCAGAAAATAATGAGTGTGCTGGGCTGCACACAGTCTTCCTGTCTAGATTTCCTGACCTTCCTTCATCTACCACCGGTACCTGGCCTTCCCTAACCTTTCCTGTTCTCCTTGGCAGTCTCTCCTACTTCCTCAGCTAATTAAAATCTCAACCTCTCACCCTCACCCATACAAAGACACCTGACTAATGACATGCAGGGACCCTGGCTCCTTTTGACGAACTGCATGATTGACAAGGTTGCCGTTGATCCAGTCCTTCAGCTTTTTCTTCAACAAGTTGATCATTACGGCGCTCCGCCTCAAGGGTGTATTTTGGACATAGTCTGTGAATTCCTTGCGAAATATATCTTAGCAAAAACAAACTTTTAGTCTTGGGCAATGACAATGACATTCAGTCCATCCCAGGTGCTGTACTCTGATTGCCTGGCGAGGAGAAGCTATATCTGTTTTTATACTTTAATGTGGACTAGCGTCCATTTGCTGATTTAATTCAAAGAATGTTGATGATTTCTCATGGGCTGGATATACTGTATTTATTTGATTTGGCTTATGTTAACTACAATGTAGCCGAATTTAAGGTTTTTTTCCGTGGTGGAAGAAGTACTCAGATCTGCTACTTAACTTACTCGTAATGCGTTACGGCAAATCAGAAATATATTAAAATACTGGATTGGTATTATTGATGCTTTCACGCACACTGATAAAGGTGTGTACTGCAGCTGTACTGCAACCTATACTTACTTATATGTTGATTTGTTTTTTGATTTGTTTTTTGTATTAGCTACTAATCTGAAAAGTTACCTCACGTGTCAAATAAATGTAGTGGAATAAAAAGTCCAACATTTGCTTACAAAATGTAGTGGGGTATAAAGAAGCATAATGAAAACACTTTAGTGGAGCACCTATTTTCACCCTCTGTCTGAAACCAGAGCCCAGTCTGCTCTGATTGGTTAGCTGGCCGGCTCTGTTGTGGTTAAGCGCTTAGTGATGTCCCAAAGTGTTGGAACGCTAGCCAATAGAAATGTGAGTGTTACCTAGTGATGTCACTATGTTCCAGGTGTAAATAAAGGAGTCCAATGGAGGCGTTCCAGGCAGGGGAGGAGTGTGTGGGAGAGAAACTCCCTCTGGAGGGAACACAGTGATTTTAGCCTTTGCAGACCATTCACATGCACACAAACCTATAACACACTACAGGAAAGGGAGAACCCCAAAAAGCATTAGAGGGCCCCTTTAAATACAGTATTTGTGTTTGCACTTCGTAACATTCTACCATTAGTTTATTTAGATGGAATATTAAGAGCACTTTCTCTAGAATGAAAAAGCAACATGTTGCATTTTTCAATACCGTGTTTTTTCTTTCGCAACATAATGTAAATGTTAAAAGCAGTATCTTTGTTGAGTTAAAGTCTGGTGTTCCTGGGTTACTCTCTCTGTAATTTTTATCAGAGTAAAGCCGCCTGACAACTCCCCGGTTCCCCCCTCGCCTTCCCTTTGTGCCAACGGCCTAATTGCGATGTTGCATCTTTCAAAATGGCTAATGGGGTTGAGAAACGCCAACGCTGCTCCCTTTAAACGGTTCAAAGAGTTACTGTGGATACAGTTTGTCTCTCTGTGTCTGTTTCTCTCCCTCTCTCTCACACACACCCTTCCTTATGGCATCATCACAAATGAACCTAAAAATAGACAGCCAGTGAACTGACAGGGCAAAGATCTGCACCCCGCATTATTTGTATTAAGTATCGAGGGGATCACAGAGTATGACCCAAGCATTAATAACAATTTAAATTGGCGAAAGAGGCAATTGAGGTAACAGGAAAGGCTGAAGCCAATCACATTTTCTTAACAAGTGATCAAAAAGGAAATAGCTCGACATCAAAGAATCCGGCTGAAGGCCAAGTCTGTCTAAGCCTCTATACATCAGAGCCAAAGTTTCCTGTCATCTCCATCCTCTTTCTTTTGCATTTATGGCATATATTCTACCAAACATAAAGCCACAAGAGGCATTGCAAACGTCTGTTTTCATCTCTGTGTGTGTACGTGCTTCACACCTGCACAAAAGATGACCCATTTTATCATGTACTGCTTTATCTAGACAGCCACTGTTGTGCAGGTTCCCAATTTAAAAATATTCATGCATACCGATCTCGCTTAAAAATGGAAATGTATTCAAACTCGTCTCAAAACACCTGTGAACCCCTGCCATACGCACACGCAGACAGACACAGACTCACACACAGAATTCATCTCTCAGTTTTATTACCCAAGAGGTAAACTATTTTATAACCCTGTTTCTGTGTTGGTTGAAAATATTATTGGTAACATTTAACAAATCCTTATTCTCCGCTGACGTTAAGCATTGTTTATAATAGTGCTTTAGTGTGTACTTTATCTTTCTTTAATGTAGAAAAAAGCTTATTTATTTTGTATCTAACATAAAGCTAAAAACACTAGAGACATAATCACACTGCCAGCACTATAGCAAGTGTTGATCTTTTGGAAGTGTTTCTCAAAGTGGGGGGCGCAGAGGCATGACAGGGGGGGCGCCAGAGACTAGGAGGACATTTTTTTGAAAACATAATTGTTATGACGTCGGCATGACCGGCGGAAGTTACATTTAGAAACCTATGAGGGCGCTGTGGGACACAGGTGTGTAATGTACATTTTGAGGATGGAAGGTCAATCGGTGGCGTCAGGGGGGCGCTAGGGGGTGCTGCAGGTCCCCCTGGGATAGCCATAGCACCCCCAAGAAATGTATGTCTTTTTTATTTTTATGTGTGAAATTCATAATTTGAAAAATGATTGATTCGAAAATAATATGCTACAGTACAAGTATGTCTGGGTCTCTGTGTTTCATTCAAGCTCGGCTCTGTGTGTGTGTGGAACGAGCCATTTTGTGTGCGTGCGCGAGCGAGAGAGAGAGAGAGAGAGAGAGCGCGCACCGGTACCGGAGATTGTTGTTGTTAGCATCTGGTGCTAGCTAGCTACGCTAACGGATATAAGGAGCTTTTTCAACAACAAGGTGGAGGGAGAACTCTCGCCTGTCAGACTGAGAGG